GCCTTGGTCGAGAGGGGCCCGTCCGTCCGGAAAGCCGCCCTGGTTAGAGTTTGGACAAGGTCCCATTCAAGACCAAGGCCTCTAGCCAGTCTGGGAATGTGTTGGACCTGTCCTAAGGCTGTCGGTGCTAACATCTTGCGCAGCTGGAGTACTTCCGATTGCCTCGCCCTTCAGTGTTCCAGGAGCAATACGCGCCCGATTCTTCTCCTCACCTGCTGACTTCCTCTACCCGTGCTGGTGGCTGATACCTGACGGGCCTCCTGTACGACATCAGAATAATTACCTTTATCAGCCATAATGGAGCATAGATAGGGGCTGCCATGGCATGCTCAAGCTGCAGCTGGCCGGTATTACGGTTTCGACCATCGAGTTAGCCCGCACATCGGTTGTCTTGTCGATCAAAGCAGCTGAGCTCATCTTGAGTCCAGAACATTCGGCTTTAATTTCCGGGATCCCTTAATGTTCCCACGTTGGGAAGAACCCTTGGCAGGATTCTAGCGCCTCGACCTTAGCTGTCCGATGGATTGCGATCTTCACTCTGCAGTCAAGCCGATCCATCGGTTTGTCCTTACCGGACCACCGTCTTGACGAGTCCTCCCTCTTCCTGCTAATGTGTAGGCATCGGGTTTCTTTAATAGGCACGGCCGTTCGTGGCGTTCTAAACCACATGCGGTCGAACATATATCTCATGAACCATAATGGGCGCACAAGTGTTACTGCAACGCGTGTCAGAGCCGACAGATTGCGATAAACTCGCTGTAGTCTCGGATCCGAAAGTATCCCATGGTCATGCATAGACTCTGAGCGGCCACTTACTCGATGCCTCTTGCCAGTACCTCGATTCAGGGCCGTGGTAGGGGCAGATATAGTCTCATTGTAAGTCTTTTTTTTTCTTGATGAGTCTCAGTCTTTTCCCACTAATCGTAAGAACATTGTCCTCATCCATATCCAGCAGTACGTACATGGCTGCTCTACAGCTTCCCATCAATCTAGTCTCCATTTGCTATTCCCACCGGTATTCGCTCTTTTCGCAACAGATACCCTCTTCCCTTTATCGCAGCATGCATCCGTGCGCTCAACAAGGCTTGCTATATTGGGACCCCTAGGTTCTTTGTGGCCGTGCATCGAATTTGGCAGCTTCATCACTCCCTTCTTGCCTGTGCAACTTGACAAAACATCAGACAGTCTATCGGATCAACTATCTTGATAACCACCATCAGTCATTATTCAGGGCCAGTTTCAAAACTACTGCAAGACGTGCTAGGGTTCGATGGATTTTATCACTCTATCTTTTGGACCTGTATGCCAGTCCATGGCGGCATCGTTTGACGAGTAAGCTGTATAGCCTCTATTCTTAGGTCAATGACTGACGTGTCTTCAACCCCGAGATTACCTCCTAATATACAGCGTACGGACAGCGACGCGAACAAAACGAGTATTGAAAAAGACCCGAGAATGTCGCCGGTGGCTGTGAGGCATATGCCTGCATGGGGCCTGATGATGGGACCAGTCATGGAATCCGGTGCGCGGAACGGAAGGAGATGAAAGGGCGGTCGTCATACTTGATTGAGCAATAGTGGCAATGGTGACGTTGATGGCCCTCCAGTCAACAGGCTGGCATGCTTAATCCCGTGAGGTCTCAGAGCGGGCAGCGGGATTCATCTGCCAGTCCGGGACGCTCTTCGAGTCGCACAGAGCGAATCCAATAAGTCTGTTCCAGAGCCAAGAAAGGCTAGTTTCAGGACTTGCTGGAGTCTGCCACCCAACGATACACAAAACCATTGTTGACAAACCCCATTCAATACCGTTTTCATGCAATGTAACCAGCCATCTTGACGGTAAGTGCCATTCACAATCCTTCCGAGCAGCGAATGTTCCCGGGCCTTTGGCAAGGATGATACGAAGCTGATTTGACTGACCATCGAAACCTCTGACCTGGTGCCACGCCTCGATACAACACCATGCTTCCATTCGTCTGCCAGGGAAGGTATCATCTAATCGGGAGACCTGGCGGTCTGGCTTCGGTGTCATGCGTGGTCATGCTCACCCTTTCGAACTGTAAGCGCGTCCTAACTCGATGCGTCGTTCCCACTTGGTATAGAGATAGCGTTCCCAGACCGATACCCATGCAGAACGCTCCCAGCCTTGCCACTGATGCTCATAACGAAACTTCTGCGAGCAAGCCCTCCCGAGCAGCCCTTTACGAGAAGACGAGACAGGCTGCTTTCGAATTCCTATGACCAATACCTAGCGACACCAGCGTCCCTAGAGAGCTAGCTCGCCCCAAGCCGTCTGGACCCTGATCTGTCATGTCCAGAACCTTGGCTATATGGTCTGCAGATCTTTGTGATTCATTCATCATGCACCTTACCTCTACAAAGCCCCAAAGTGACTCCCCGGCAGCCACGGTGGCTTGCTACCACGGTGATTGCTGCCTTGTAGTGAACTGATGCACATCTAGGTCCGACGGAAGGCAAGACGTCAAAGATGTGTATTGACTCATCATACAAAGGCTATAATAACCGAGACCAATCGAGTGATAGGCTCCTCATGCTCTGCCGTGATGTGGAGGTGGGGTACCCGACCTGACTCTACGAGCAACGCCCATGGATCAACGAATTGGGTGCTCCGCGTCCTGAGGGCCCCGACACTCGGAAATTGCGCATTTCCCGGCAGGGCCAGTAATCTACTGATGCTCTACCTGAGCTGACCCTAATGGGCAATCGAAGGCAATTTTCCCGCTCATCTAAGAGTACTTCAATCCGCAATCATTCCAAGAACAAAGAAGCAAGAAATCGCAAGGCAGCCCGGGAAGGGCATGGCAGATAAAGTAAAAGAGGAGACGTAGGGAGCAAATTCGAACCCGCTGCTTTTCTTTGTATAGAATCGACAAAAGCAAAATGACACGGTGGATGCCTTTTCAGTAATCATCATTATCGATCGGATCATACAGTACAAAGAAAAGTAGTAGATGAAAGATCTTCAGCCATGAAGGAAACCCGCCTGACGAAAAGACCCAAGGTGTCGTGAAACGGAACCAAGAAAGGAAGAGAGGGAAGAGAGAAGAAAGGAGGCTGGAGAATCTAAGTCGCCCGCTTGGCGAATTCGACGCGCAGGATAAGGTGACGGTAACCGACTGATGATGAGAAATATTAGTTGCGATTCCGATATTGCTGACGCCCCAAATGGATAGCCAGGCAAGAAGGAACAAAAAGCAAACAGAAGCCACTTACAGCCATCCATCTTCTCGCAGGCACGTGCAGCATCGCTCCGGTCCGCGAAGCTGATGAAAGCGAATCCCTTGGCTCTCTGGGTCTCTCTGTCTCTGGCCAGGAAGACTCGGGTGACACGACCGAAGCGTTCGAACAGATCCCGCAGTTCTGCTTCCTCTGCCAACTCGCTCACCTGTTTTTTTTTTTGGTTTCGTTGTCAGTCAAATGCGCCCAACATGTAATTGCATCAAGAAAAGAACGCTGGTTTCCTCTCATCTACATCCATGCGGTCCCGTCCCGTCCCCGAAAGGCCAGCATCAGCCAGCCTCCCACCCTCCAACAAGACCAATAGGAAAATTAAAGCAAGCACCGCAACGCAAAGCAGGCAAGGGAAGTGCAAGGGAAAGGAGAAACGGACGAGAGGGAACCAGCATCCCCTGCCGCTCTCCCCCTACACCCTCCTTCCCTTCCATTCCAACAAATCCCTCCCCGCCACCAAAAACGCTCGACACGAAAACCAGAAACAAAAACGAAAAAAAAGGAAACGGGTGGAAAGGCCACAACTCACGTTCGTAACTCTCAAAGTCGCCAGATCGTCCTTCTCGTACTTGCCAGCCATTCTCTCGCCACCACCCGCAGCACCCTTCCGTAGATGAGGCGGGACGTAGCTAGAGGTTCCACTACCGAGGGCCCCAGCAGCGGGTTCATCACCGGCCGCGCCTCCCTCGATACCCGCACCACCAGCAGGCTCCTCCACCGGCGCCATCGTATCCTTGAAGGGACAACGAGCCGTGAAATGCTCTCCCGAACAAATACGACATTTCACCTTCTTATCCTTCAACTGATCCTTCATACTGCCCTTCTCCCCACCATTCTTCTCCGCCTCCGCAGCCTGAACCTTCCAGTTCACACTGGGCCGGAAAACAATATTCTCACCCACCGAGGTCGTATCGAACGACGGGCCAGGCGCATTGCCCTTCTCCAGACCGAACTTGGCCCAGGTCCGTCGCTCCGCTACCTGCGGGTTCACATGTTCGCGCACCACAGTCGTCTTGATCTTGCGGGTCACTTTCACCTTCTTCCCTTCGTCGTTGAATCGGTAGGAGACGATCGTCTTCGTGCCATCTTTGTTGGTGGTGATTTGCTGTGCGGGGAGAGCGGAGGGGTCGTCGAACTCTTCGTCGTCGGCCCAGTCGGCGCGGCTGTAATTCAGTAAAGAGAAAATTAATCCCTGGTCAGAACTTTTGTTTCCTTTTTTCTTTTGTTTTGTTTTCGGTCGCGAGAGAGAAAAACGGGTTTTTGGGAGGGGTTGCGTCGCTTACTTTCCTAGCTTCGACATTGTGCGTGTGATGAGGGGGTTGATGGTCGCCGTTGTTGCTGAATTTCTTGGATTTCAACGAAAGGCAAGATCCGTTGTGGATTTGTTCGGCGCGGCAAAAGTATTGTGGCGCAACTGTGGCTGGTGCTGTCTGGTCCTGTCACGTGAGGTACACTACGTTTGGGATGGGGGACAACTTTCTTTATCCACCTCAATTTTGTATCTTTCAACGGCAAAATAGTTACATAGCATATTGGTCGGAGACTTTGTCAACGATGCTGTTACCAAATGCAAAGATCCAGAGCAAAAAGCAGTAACCAACGAAACTGGTCCAATCTCCCCCTCACATCTCCCGTTCTCCATCTCCCACCCTAGGTTTCAAAGCCATGGGACACAAATTGTGGTCGAGTCGATCATCGAGATATGGCATCCGAGAAGCTCTAAGACAGTATGCTCAAGACCTGACGGTCTCACACGTAGTCGGCCTTGACACTCCCGTGGTTACGACCCTCATACCAGAGCTCGTACTCACAGTGTGCGGAATAATAGGACGCATGAATCGCATAATCAATTATGTAGTAGAGTTTTCCATCAGCGCCACGACATTCTGGAAGCCGATATCTTGAATCTGATCGAGACTTGGGTTCAATATAGCATGTGGCTTCACGCCTAAGGACATCAGGTTTGTCAATCGAACTCAGCCGCCCTGAACCAATATGAGAGAGTACTCACGGCGATTGAAGTACAAAGGCGGCTTCTCGCCCATAGGAGTATCTAACTTATAGAGGGTGACGTGGATTGAATCGAATGCGCCCCTCTTAACGAGTTGATGGCGACGCCACTCGGTCTTAATGGCCTCTGCTTCTTTGATATCGTCGCCCTGGACACGGTGTCAGCGCTCATGAATGCAATTAGACATCTATTCATACCTTGCGAATAAGCCAATTCATAACGTCAATGTGATACTCCCCTTCAAAGTAATCCCAATACCTGATATCATTAGTCCCTGAAGGCAAAGAAAAAGGGAGAAGAAACAGGATCACATAAACCAGGTCGTGGCCACTTACTTCTTTTTCTCATCATGCACTTCGCTGATGAACTTGGTTGAGTCTATAAGCCCATAATTTTCCCTAGCTTTGCGAGAGTCAACGGAAGCCTTGATAGCTGTGTCCGAGACATCGCCAATAGTCTTGGCCAAAGCACCCCTGACAACAGCAGTCCATCCATCAACAGGTGCAAGGACTTCGATTCGAGGAAAAACTGACTTTTCAAGATATTGTCGAAGATAAACGCTTTGCCCAAATCCACCAACTAAAAAGAATGGGCATTCGCCTTCTTGTAGACGATTGGATCTGCCTTTGCACGAGATCATGAACCTCTTCCAGGACAGGTTGAAATAATTCCTTCATTTCGCATCCACTAACTCGGAGTCGACCCCTACGAACTCCGAGTTGCTCATTGTCCGCTATCCCAGGGACTGGAAACATGATATCATCGTCTGCATTGCCACTGAAGCTCCTCTTTGCCACGGTCTCGAATCGCTGCATTGCCTCATCTAGTGTATCTCGATCCCAGCCTGGGACGTTGGAGAGACGTCCAGTAAGAAACTCTTCAAAACGTCTGTTAAGGAAACTGCCTCCACACAGTGCCCCATTCCCTGGTACCTCTTCCTTTAGATGCAGATTGGGTACGAGCCGACCAATCGAAAATGTTATCAGATCGACCGTCCCACCACCTGCGTCACAGACTACAATAGTATCACCAACTTTCAGCCCATGGGGGCTCTTTGCACGTAAAGTGTGTATTGCAGCAGCTTCAGGCTCAGAAACGATACGCATTTTGGATGTTTCGCAACAGCCTGCCTTCTTCGCACAGGAGAGTGTTGCCATCTTTGCCTTCTCCGGCCAGATTGCTGGCACGGTAATGACATACTCCAAAGTTTTGCTGTTGAATGAACTGCCTATTCTATTCTCCAACATCTTCAGAATATGTCCACGGAGAGCTCAAAGATAATCAGTCACGACCTCCTCGCATGATGTGTGGTGTGGGACAGGAGCACGGCGACAATCACTATAACTTGCAGACAGCCGCGAACCAATCCCAAGTTTCTCATTGGGGGCGAGTCCAAGCTTAATCCACTGAATTCGCGGCATTATATGGGGAATCTGAAATCCCCAGCGGCATTTGGGCCCCGTCTTATTGTATTCGTATGCGACCTCGCTCGGGACCTTTTCGCTGCTCGGTCCATAGCATGAGCCAGAATCGTCATGTGGCCATTGATTGATAATGTAGTGTGAATCTGGCTGAAAAATGGATTAAGCATGTCGGCACCACAATGGGCCTGCGTTTGACTTACATTGCTGGCTTGAGCCCAAGCTACACCAGAGAAAGTGGTGCCAAAATCCGCAGCAACGATGATGGCCTCATATGCGACGGATTCTCCTGAGCTGGCATCTTCTGTAGAAGAGCTGGTCATCTTGCTTTGGTCACTTATTGACCAAGGACTTTGGACGTTGGTAGATTTTGGTGACAGATCACTTGGGAGGTGACCCAGTTCGTGGTGAGGAGTTATCTTGCAGAGGGGATATGAAAGATATGAGATGGTAGATAAAGGAAGATGAGACCTGTGAGCGGGTCCAGTATTTATACCGGCCTGATCGCACAGATTGATAAAGTCAAGTGAAGTGTAAGTGAAAAGCTCCATATGTGGCAGTTGATGGTGCCGTCGATGGTGGTCAGTTCCTTGTCATGGTTCTCACCTTTCTTTATCCTGACTTCGGGCTTTCTTCCATAGTAGTAGGCTCTTCCTTCTTGCTTGACCCGTCAAGCCGGCCTTTTCATCTTCTGAAACCTGCAACCCAAGACAGAAGATGGATGAAAGCAACATGGTATGTGGTAGACATCACTCAAACACCCGGGGAAAGCACATTTCGGTCAACTTGTACTGAGAGATGGTGAACAGGAAATTGGCCCTCCAGCTCAGGACAACAAGACAACAGCATGCCCCGTCGCGGAAGAAAGCACAGTCAGAATGAACATCATTGGGTGAGGAAGATGCGCAAATCTCTCAAATCGATGAGGAGAATCCTCAGGAAGGAAACTTCTCGACTACAGGATGAACTGAAATCGAAAGGAAGGGACAACTGTGCATTGAAGCAAATGAACTGCAGATTGAAGCAGCATAATCATGAGCTCAAATCGGAGCTCTCGCATCGTCAGAAGAATATCCTTGGGGGCTTGCCAATGGATGATTCAAGCGACGCTAGTATTCAGGGTTCGTTTGTTCAACTTCGGGACAATCTCTCCAATTGGGTCGAGCACCTCCCTTATATTAGTGATGGGTTTCGGGACGACTTTCCAGAGGCCTTGGTTGGACTTTTTGGTCATATCTATGACTATGGGACACCTGAGTCTTATCCGGAGGAACCTGTTGGCGCAGAGTCGGAGCTCCTGACACAGATCATTTTCAGGTATATCTGGGATAAGCTGTTCGATGTTCTTATTCCTGGATCATCCAGTGACAATGCCCTTCTATCTGAGCCTCGAAACAAGATGCGGCTGTTAACTCCAACAAAAGGTCCGTTGGATTCACCTGGCCCGAGACCTGACTGACAACTTTGACAGATATCGAGAGCATCAACGGTTGGAGATCAGATACATTGAGGGCCTATGCATCTCTTAAACGTCATGAGTCGAGTGTCGACAGTCAGTGCATCAAGATGGCATTGGACCTGCAGAACTTCCTTGGGCATTTCAAATTCGAGCAGCTTGTCAACTGGGACAGTGAAATCAACCGGCTGATGAAGAAAATATTAACTCCGGCTGCGACACTGGCAACCAACTTGAGCTGCTCCCTGAACCAATACAGGTGGGTATGGTATGAAAACGAAAGAGACTTTGCACAAGGAGCCGTGCGTAAGGGTCACCTGGAGATGTTCACGGTTCTGGATGTCCGCACTCACAACAAAGTTTCCATAAGAAAGCTTCAGTTTCTGTCTTCAGGGGCACCCACAGGGGAGTTTCTTGGGGTTATTTACCCGGCCTTGTTTCGGTGTGGGGATGACGGACGCGATGAGATTTTGATAGAGAAAGGGGCTATCTTAATGCGTTCGAAGGATGATCTCCAGGGAGAAAAGATGGCGGAAGTTGAAGTGTAAGCATCACAATTTGGAAGGAGTGACACGGTAGCTTTCAACCATGCCGGGTAACAAATTTTCTGTGACACCGAGGAAAGTGCACTTTCTATTTACAACACAGGCGGCAGTCCACTGGGCAGACCTGGTCACTGTGCTTGAAGGAGGATCAAGATTGACAACTGCACGGGGAATGTTCATATTACGCGCGAAAATATCAATCTATCAATCACATCTCATCTCCGGCGCATCTGCACGGAATGGTATATTAAGATCAATGATTACATCTATATACATAAGTCCAGCTAACATCATGAAGCAGCCAGGTTCCGTGGTACGGAACCGACACTCTCAGTCGATTCCGAAAAAAAGACATAACAAGCCCAACCCAAACATCTGTATCCGAATTCATACCCTTGTTATAACAGTTCAAAAGAAAAAATCATCGCATTTACCGACCCAGCATTTTCAGTTCGATGGGTCGTAGAACGGCATACACAACCGCGGAGAACGCAAGGCCCAGTTCGAAACCGACATCACCATTGCCGGCCTTCTTAGCGATGGGACCGGTGTACCATGTCTCACTCATACCCACAACCATACCGGCGACACCGAAGGCAAAGGCGACGCAAGCGGCAATACCGTAGGGAAGCTTGTCGGGCTTATCATAGGTTTCCGGGCGGTATCCAGAGAAGCCTCGACGGATGACAATGTGGTCAGCGAGAGCGACACCGGAGTAGATGGCCAGCCAATAGGCGATGAAGTCCATCAGGTTCTCCAGGACCTCTTCGAAGTGGGAGTAACCGGGAATGGCCACGGCCACAGACACACAGGAGGCCAGGAACACCCAGATGAAACGAGGAACGCGCTGGGAGTAGCGACTCAGGACCTGGAGGGTCAAGGAGACGGAGTAGATGTTGGGGCAGTTGTTGGCAATGATGGAAAGCGAGAGGATCACCAGGCAGAACTTGCCGAAACCACCGAGCGGGTCCAGAACGGCGCCCAGCAGGCCTCCGTTGCCAGACTGGTTGTAACCAAGTGCATACTTGTTGTCGCCGCCATTGATGGAAGTCGCAGTCATAACGGCGATACCCAGGAACTGGGTGAACAGGAGAGGGACGATCAATCCGGACCAAGCCGCAAAGAAGATCTTGAGACGGCTGCGGTCGGAGGGCTGGTAGACAGTGTAATCGGCAGCGTAACTGGTCCAGCCAGTAGCGAAACCATAAACAGTCGCGCCGTAAGCCAGGACCGAGCCGACCTCAGACTGTCCAACGCCCATGGGAAGGTTCCTGAAATCTCCGGAGTGGGCGAACATTCCCAGAACGATCATGAAGACGATGAAGGTGGGGATCCAACTGTAGAACTCGTACAAGTGGACCACCTTGTATCCGGCAAAGGTGACGAAGAGGGTGCAAATGGCAATGATCAGAATTCCTGCAAAACCAGGCACGTCGCTGTTCACGGCATTGAGAAGCTGAGCACCGACGATGGAGTTGGCAGCGGACCAACCCAGACACGACAGAACGTTCAGGATGGCAACTAACACGAAAGTATGAGCACCTAGTGGGGACGAGACTCGCATCGACGACAGGGATACTTACTGAACTTGGTAGGATACCAACCGAACCAGAACCGGGTGAGGACCATTTGGCGCAGACCAAAGGCAGGACCAAAGCACGAGAACCAGCAGACAGTCAAGACACCCAGCAGGTTGAAGAACAAGCAGACGAGGATGGCATCGACAAAGCCGAGGGAGAAAGTTCCGTATCCAAGCACACCGATAGCGAACGAACTAACCACCATGTTGGCCGCCAGCCACTGCGATGGGTCAGTTTGGGAGGGCGGTCTTGGGAGCACCAGACGCAAAGCAACGAGAGTTAAAAACACACCATGCTGCTGATATTGAAGTACGACGTGTCGTTCCGTTCGTTTTCCGGCACACGTTCGACACCTCGCTGCTCAATGTTGAGCTTCCCCGCCAACCGTTGCAGCTTTGCGTACAGCGAATTGCCGTACATGAAACTCTCCCCGGGAACGGCGCCATCGCTGGTGTCGTCCATGGGCGTCTTGCCCACCTGGGGGGCTTTTTCGAGATCGGTCTCGGCTCCTCCGAACATGGTGAAGGGATGGGATTGGTAAACCACGCGTATATCTCAACGGCGCGAGTTTGAAGGGTGCTGGCGTGGGGGAGGGGGATCCCGGGCCAGGAAGTGAGGCGACTTTGGAAAAAGTCTAGTGGGAACTCTTGAATACGAGAGCTAAAAGCTCAGGTACCAAGTATAGTTCAAGGGGGAAGGGAAAAGGAAGAAAGAGGAGGAGACGGGAACCACATCTTTCTTTTTTCTTTCTTTCTTTCTCTGCAAGAGAGCGTGGGAGGAGAGCTCCTAATATGTGTTTGGCGGCCAGGATAATTTCTTCCACACCCACCGTGACGAGGCCCACCCCACGAGATCCGAACGAGCATCAGGCACGGTGATTGATCGCTTCTGCGCCGACGGAGAAACGCCGCCGCGACCGCGTAACAGCTTCCCATGGGCTCCTGTCGCGTGTTCCGCCGGAGCACCCAGCCCTGATGGACTCCCGTCGCTGTTCTTGTTTCGAGAAAAAACTGCGGGCTCCACTTGGCGGGCTGCGCTTAGTCGAGCCCTAGTGCGCACAAGCTTATGTCTGCGCCAATCACCACCCGGCTGCTCCAACACCGCCCGTCCTCATTGGAGGGATGGGACTCTGGGCACATGGTTAAGCACCACATAGATCGCAGAAATTAACTGCGAGGCGTTTCTGATTGGGCCACTCACCCTGCCAGGACCGGGTGGGCCGGGTGGCGATGGAACCCACGCTGATAAGACTTTGACTGGTGATAGGCACAGCGCCCGCCTGTAACCCTGAGAGATTTGATAATGATAACACCTCGGTTCGTTAGGTATTTCGGTTTGTACGGCCTACTGCAGTGCCTGGCCCCAAGCTGACCTCCGGGGCTGATAGTGTCGCCTCCTATCTCATGGTGCTGATAATCTTCACCCCGGACAATTCATTGAGGGTCTCATGTGTGCTGATATCACTCACGATCGGTCAACGCCGAAGGAGGAAGTTTAATCGGTGCCCTGCTTACTGTCTTGCCACCATTGTCTCATTGCGCATTCCCGATGATACCCTACGGAACCCCCGTGATCATCAAACTAGTTGCTTGCGTTGGACCACGCAATAATTATGACATGACTGCTCGTTGATGTATCTGTAGGGGGCTCACTTCGACATGGAAACCACCCCATTTCCCCCACGCAGCACCATCGACCACGATGACAACAGCTATCTTCCCCAGACTTCCGCAGTACCCCGCGCCTTCGGAAACCTACGAAGATTCGTACTTTGGGCTGACAGGGAGCGGTGATCGCCGCCTCTGATCGCTATCACAAAGTTCCGCCATGTGTCTGCCGGGCCGCGAAGCTTCAGCTAAGCATCTCTGCCCCGATAGAAGTCGAGAAGCCAAGCTGGCATGTGAGAATGGGCATTGTTTCGATCGCACAGCTGACCATGGACGCGTCCTGATTGGACGCTATGCAAGGCAGATAAGGCCTCATAGCCATATCTCTGAGATGCAATCGTTGCATGATACGAACCCCTTAGCGCAGGAGCCGTTAGATTGCAGCCAATTCCCCGGAGTATCTACCTGTTCTGGGCCAGCCAGTGCGTCTCCAGGTCTCAGGTACGGAGTGTACCTATTATCTATGCCAGTCGCCAAAGAATGCCAAACCTGCATTCTAGAACCTGTACAGGATGTCAGCCAGCTTGGTCCCTGAGGGTGATACCAGCGTCTGTTATCAAGGGCCCTTCCACCGTAATTAATATACTAAACTTCGCCCGGCTCAGGCCATTCGATCTCACTCAATCAGCGATTGCCACTAAGTCACCCTGCATTAAACAATTACCCCTGCCGCCTAAGAACATCCCTCTACAGTCTACACTGTACTCCTTTCTGTCTTCTTTCTTTCATACCACCTACACAGCTACAATGTCCATACCAAAGCATCCTCACGCTACCACTTGCCCTAAGTCCATCGCCCCTGTGGATCTCGCACTCCGATCCACCTTCAATCCGCCCGACCCACCAGGGAAAGGAAACTTCGGAACCCGCGACTCCAACGGAGTCGGGAAACTGAAAGCAAAGCAAAGCTAGGCAACGTTTCCCGTCGCGTGTCTGTCGTGTGCTCCCCCAGAAGCAGACTGAACAAGATCCGTACTCCGAAGTCTGTACAGTGTACCAAATTATCAAGTACAGGCCACGCGCCATCACCCGGAGATTTAACCCCTCAAAGTGAGACAGACTTTTCGGGTTGATTCATGTTGAATGGACCCATTAGTGCAAGATAACTGCTACTTACATCACAAGTCATCATTCCTCAACTATCTCCATCTACCAACAACCTATAACATAAGAATGAAATCACACCCAATTCAACCCCGTCACTAACCAACAAAATACCCCTGTACTCCATACAGTGCACTATACGGAATACCAGGTTGAACTTTCATCCCACGCGTCAAACACCTAGATACCCCGTCGTTACCCGTCCGCCAGGAAAGAAAAATTTTTCTCCTCCCTCTTGACCCGCCAATCCCAACGCAGGGCACTCACTGGTCTCACCAGTCCCGATTTAGGCCGGTCGGGTCGGTTTCCCGAGCCGACCGAGGAAAGTTCACTAACCAGTCACTGCTGCGTACCTATCCTCATTATTCCATTCTTTATTCCGTACCAGACTATCATAGTACTGTGTACCAGTAAGACTCTAGGCAAGTAGTTAGTTAGTCCTCTTGGCTTGGCTTGGGGCTGGCTTGGCTTGGATTGATGAGGCTGGGTGGCGTTAGTAAGCGGGGCGGGGAGTTTTGCCGAGCCGTAGTGCTTTCACTTTTCTGGATGGGTTGGTTGGATTGGATTGGATTGGATTTATGGAGGGGGGTGGGTGGTTGTGGTGGTGGTTGAGTCAGAGGTTTTGGCGGTCGCATCGCTTCGTATGTCGTATTGGGGATTGGAGAGGGTTGAGTTTGAGGGAGAAAATTTGAGTATAGGTAGGTAGGTAGCTAGCTACGTAGGTAGTATGTTCTGGGTGTACTCCGTGAATAGTCTTAATTCCTACGATTAGGATAGGAATAAGATCACCAATTACTGCTTACTGTTTGGGACAGAAATGAGGGATATTAGGAATATCACTTACCTACTCTAGCTAGAGGCCCTACTCCATAATAGTTAAGAGTCAGAGATGGAATGACGGGTGCCTGCTTGACACTACTTGCCTTATGCGCTAGGCAATTGGAGAAGTGGGTTCGTGCTGGGTTCAGTTTCGAGTTTCGAGATGGAGTATTCAGTCAGTAGTCAGTAGTCACGTTCCGTTAGTACTTAGTATCTAGGCTATCTATATTAGGGGGCGGGTTTCGAGATGTGGATGACGTAGTGGGGTTTGGGATTTCTTATGGCTATGCGGATTTGGATGAGGTTGAATGAGATGGTGGGTTGGATTGTGTGTACGCCTGTATGGAGTAGTGTGTGTTGTGTAGAATTGGGTTGAGATATGCTTTATTCGTTATGTGTAGATGTACATGGTGGGATGGGTGGTTTGTGTGCCGATATATATTTTCGGGGTGGTTCCGTGATCGGCCTGAGTAGCTTGGTTTATGGGTATCGGGGGAGGTTGCATAAGGGATGATTAGGATGAAGGTCGTACAGGCTACATAGTAGGTGTCGCTGAGGGATTAAGATGTTTAGATCCAGCAATGAGAAATAGGACCCTGACGGTGAAATAAGCTTAATTCACGTCAGTCTATTGGATTATGGCATAATGCGTAGGATTGCAGATCGCAGCCTAATCACAGGTATGATTACACGCGTTCACATCAGGGATACAGAAGTCTGAATGGCACTAGGACAAGCCAACTACAGCGCTCAAGAACTTAGGTTTCCTTTCTCAGACAACCCCGCGCTCGCTTCCCCTACTCCTGGATGTTCAACTCCATCTAAAACTAAGCCTTGGACATCACTCGGGCCCTTGAATTGCTTTCGGGCGGTGGTGAACCACGTAAAGATGCTCAGCAACGCGACCAACCCAATTGCTGCACTCGTGTAGTTCATTGAATCCGGGGTGACCGGGGCATCCGATGGGAAATTGAAGGTGATGAACGCAAAGAACAGGAACAGAAAGCCCAGACCATGCAGGCCGAGCGATATCGGCAACGGGAGGGAGTAAGGACTGTCGACTGGCGCGATGTCATGGCCAAAGAAGTATCCCAGTAGTCGAGCAAGAAGGACCAGCCCGTACGAGACATCTATGGAGCAGTCAGCGTTGTTTTCCACCCCAAGGCTCGGTGGATTACTCACAGAATCCAGTGGTCGCAATAGACACGACCGTATTGAACCCAGTGACGGTACCAAAGTAGATGGAGTTGAACGCCATCTGGACCACGACAGTGAACAAGATCGCATAGATTGGAATCTTCTTTCTCTTCTCCACGTGAGACAGAACCCCAGAGAACGGCATCCCCCGGTCTCGCGCAAATGCAAACAGTGCTCGAGATCCTTCCGCAACAAGACTCACCCCAGAAACTATCATAATCACAGTCATCATACTGGCCATGAAACAAGCGCCCACCTTGCTCTGGGTCGAATCGTAGAAGATTTGGATCACGGGAACCCCTGTGCTGGAGTTTGCAGTGGAGGTTATGTCGCCAATGCAGAAGCAGAGTGCCAACAGGAAAACAAAACCCGTCACAGCTCCCATGCCCACGGACATGATCATGGCCTTGGGCGCGTCTCGAGAGGCGTGTGTCATCTCTTCTGTCATGTGGCTTGGCGTATCGTAACAACACATGCCAAAGAAGCTCTGTAGGATTCCGACCATCGTTGCCATCGCGGATCCAAAACCGGTCGTGTTTTGGAAGTCCTGGAACACGAACGCCGCATCTTGCTTATCCTTTTTTGTTGCCAGCAGAACTATGACTATAATGACGAACGAGCAAACATTCCATAGTAGGATCGCCCGGGATAGACGGTTGAGCAGGTGAGGCATAAACAGATTGATCATGAGAGCCCAGATCGCGACTGCGTAAGTAACCAGGACGGTATGCCAACGCTCAACCACGTACTCAGGATTTACCAGATTTGCTTGTCCGAGGATGAAATTCGCGGCGAACGAGTTGTTCGCAGAGCCCATGGCAAGGATACCTAGTTTGACTGAGCACTAGCCAACACTCGGAGCTAAACATTGCTTACCCATTAACATGAACCATCCAGTAATGTACGACATCTGTCGAGCGATTTTTGGTGGCGCCAGCAGAAACACCCACGAATACTGCCCTCCAGCTACGGGCCATCGTGAGCACCATTCCGCCATGGACAGGGCAACCGCAAAGGTAAGAGCACACACGCCAATCCATCCGAAGAGCATCACTGGTGGGCCACCAGCATCCACTCCAACGATGAATACGCCGCTCAGTGCGCTCCAGCTGATTCCGCAAACGTCAGTAACCGTTCTCTCGCAATAGGGATGATGTACACAACCAGGTCACGATACTGAAACTGAAGCCTATCATGTCCAGGAGGCCAAACGATCGCTTGAATTCTAGACAGGTACAACATCAGTCAAAAACACTATCCATCGGAGGGATGGCCATACCTTGCTGGTACCCCAAGTGCTCAAGCGTGAGGTCTTCCTCAGCCCCTTGGCCGAAGACATCTTTGGGCGTCTCAGACATGGTGCCAGGAGTAATATCTGTGCGTGGAGAACCCAAAGCAGACCAGGACTGACAATCTGCCTGCTATATAATCCAGGTAGTGCAGCATGATAAGCCTCGTTGAGAGGACGCATCGTGCACGCTGGCTCTGCAGCTCAAGCCGCCAAGCAAGTGCTTATCAGCGGATCGACCGTGGCATATCGTTTCGGGGCAGAGCGATTGGCAGACTGCGCATCTTCAGCAAGGGGCGTCTGACCTATCAAGAGGATCACCTCGTTGCTTTTTCGGACCGTCCGAAGTGCCTTCATTCGTGGTTCTTTCTGACTAAGGGTCCAACAGCACGATCGGGGAATGACTCATCTGCGACTCCAAGCGGGTTAACTAGCGGGGTATCATCGAGATAATGGCTATATAACCTGCCAGGCAATCAGCCCCTATACGACACGAGGGCTTATTGTTTGCATTCGTCATGACTGGCATTGAGATCTTACAAGGGGTGTCAGCCCAGCCGCTGTTGTTGGCGGCCGTCGCAGTTGCCAGTGTCATTCTTTTAAGATGCTTCTATCGCATCTACCTTCATCCTTTATCGTCAGTACCTGGACCTAAGATCGCCGCCTGCACCTCGCTATGGCTGGCGTACCACACGTATGTTGGTGATGAATGCACTGTCGTCTATGAATTGCACCGGAGATACGGACCCGTTTTACGAGTCGCCCCCAACGATGTTGACATTGCCGATAAAGATGCGCTGGAGCCAATCTACATTGCTCGCGGAGGCTTCCCCAAGACGGCAGCATATTCCAAATTTGATATCGATGGACACACAACGATATTCTCCACTTTGACATTGCCTGAGCGAGCGACGCGGGCCAAGGCTGTCGCGCCCCTGTTCTCTACTGCTTCAATCCGAAATTCTCAAAAAGCATTGGGCGACGTTTTTGACGACTTTGTGAGCAGATTACAGGCTGAGGCACACACTGGCAAACCGGTCAATGTGCTGAATGCGACACGCGCCATGGCGATTGACGCCGTGAGTGCCTATCTCTTTCACGAGAGATATGGAGCCATCACGGAGAAGGCAGAGTCGATGTCGGCTTCACCATTTGTGGACTCCTATGTCGGTGTCGGGGCCTTCTTTAATGTTGTACCCGGGAAGACCGGGGATTTATTCATGGCGATGGTCGAGCGCTGGTCAACAAACACTATGGTGGAGAAATCGCACGGTCTGATGGATCAGTACACGAGACAGCTCATTCAGAGCGCAAGGCCAAAGAGTGGAAGCTACCAGAGCCGCCTTTTGGAAAAGACATCCACCACGCAGTCACAAATTGAAGTGAAGGACGTCTGCTTTGCAGGAACCGACTCGACCGGAATGAATACTGCAACCATCATGTGGTACCTGGCAAAGCAACCAGAAACGTGAGTCACAATAGCGCCCTATGTTGGGATTTACTAAGCGTTTGCGTGCAGGTATGCTCGTCTCAGACAAGCCGTTCTGCAGACCATAGAAAATGAGGAAGACCCCACAACCTGTGCTTATCTGCGCGGCGTCATCCGGGAAGGCCTCCGACTCTCATGGGCCAATCCTATTCGATTGCCTCGTATGGTTCCGGCTGGTGGTTGGCAGTTTCGGAACTTCTACTTCCCGGCTGAGACCAGTGTCGGTGTGGCGGCCTTCCAGCTGCACCAGGATGACACTGTGTTTCCTGAGCCGCAGCGATTCCTCCCTGAGCGCTGGGATAATGCGGACGATGCAATGCTCACAGCTTTCTTTGCATTTGGCAAAGGTACTAGAGCATGTATTGCCCAGTCGCTGGCAATGTATGAAGTCACCATGGCTATTTCCAAAGTGGTCGAGTCAGATGTGCTCCGGGGAGCGACGATTGTCGAGGACCGAATCGAGATCAAGGAGTGGTTCAACTCAAAAGTCAAAGGAGAGGAGATTTTGATACAATTTTCACGGGACTGAAACATACATGCCCATACGCGTTGAATAAAGACAAATTATAGACATGGGTTCCGAGCTAAGCCAAACTATGTACGCGAATGAAAGCATTCAAAAATTGTCTCGAGAAAAATCGATATCCTTACCATTTATCCACTCGATCATTTCCTGATATAGGGCATCACGCTCTTTTCCAAATAATTGAGGAAGGTTCTGCTTTATCGGATACCCTAATCGACGCATACCATAGGACAGAAACTGGTAGCCCTTAGGCTCCTTGGCTAAGGACTCATGGTCGATTGTCGGAAGCCGGGTCGCGTCCACGGGCACCAGTTTATCCTTCTCGTAGATTGGATGATTGCAGAAGATCTTCCATCCCTGGGACTGTTTCCCCAAGAAGAATACAAAGCGACAATCACTATGAAACCAATGCATTAGTAGGGCCAGATATGAGGCAAGAAATGCAATACCAATCACTGTCCCACTCGACTCCATTCTCATCGGCAAAACGCCAGGAGATCGTGACCTTCATCTTATCGATGGCACGGTCACCTTTGATATCCACTGCGTGACCAAGCACGCGATGGCAGATGAACTCGCCCTTGGCCCAACCTTCAGCCCAGGTCTCAATAGCTTTGTCCCGATAGTTCTGCTGCCAGCTAATGTTGATAAACGCATTGGGGTCGAATATTTCCCGGAGATCAGTCCACTCGCAGGCATCGCGATGGAGCGGCCAGCCCTCACAAAGCTCACGGATCTTGAATCGCTCCAGGGTCGACGCGTCATCGGTGTTGTATGTCAAGCGGTTGGATGCAAGAGGAGGTTCAGCACCTAATGCGTAACCATCTTTGTCGGCAAACTTGAAAAGTGATGGCTTTTCAGTCCCAGTAATCTTATCCATTTGTCCGACAGCACCCATTTTCGATACTTGCAATTTCTGTCAAGCGAGATATATTGAAAAAGGCAATTGACCGATAATAGTGTTGAAAGAAGGGGGTGGGTTAGGTCCCTTAAATAATGTTGTAGCTCATATTCCTCCAAGCCCCTCAACTATAGCCATCTCCGATGATAGGATGGGAGTCCTGGTTGCTCTGGCCGACCAATATATGTGGACGAGGTATCATCGCTAAAGGGCGGCTCATAGTGACGTGAAGTTTGGGCAGCCTAAAGTTTTCAGTTCAGAACTATAGCACGGGTGGTATCCTGCATCTCAACTGATAGCATGTATTTAGGTACCTGTAAGTTGATCGCACAAACCTGGAGGATGTAGTTTTTACTTGGCTGCGCAGGGAAGAATGTCCCAGTCTCAGTGCTGCGAGTGGGTTGACCAAGCTGGGAAGCCGGCCACTCGGCTGAGGCCAATATAAATATCCCGGGACGTGGTTTTCGAGAAATATTATCTGGAAAATTGGGGACCGGTGGTCAGAGGAACTGTGTTCGTTTCCAGGGATGTGCTTCGATTCCCTGGTGGATCTTGGATGACGCTCGTCATCCAGACAACTCGGGTTTGGTTTGGCGGTGGGGTTTCCTTGGGAAGATCCGCCAGGCACCTGGTTCGAAGGATTGTACCTGGGCAGGAGACTGTCAACCAGACCTGGCAAGCTCAAGTTCGACGATTGAAGTCAGGTAGGTTGGTAGGGTCAATGCTCCGCAGTGGATTGTGGGAACTGGGAAGAGTAAAGTTAGACCCGCTCCCCCCGCATGACGGCAGACTATCTATGGGGTATGGGGTAATTTTAGCGTAATTACTGTGAGTGAGGATCCACAGTATGCAATGCTCGTTTCCAACATTGAATCTCTAGGTATTCCATGCACATCCTGATCTCTTTCCCTCGGAACTATAGTTCATGAATATCTAATGACTCGACCGCTACCCCCGCTATCTTGTCCAAAACCTCAGCTGACTGCTCAAAATCGATTCTAATCGGGTTCGGACTGGAATCACTATATCATAACCTCTGCGCCTCGCTTACGGTTACGGTTCTGATATCTTTCCACCAGAGGATCTCGATAATAGCCGTGTATTGGAGCTTTGCATCAGTGGTGAAAGGCGGTTGCACACGGAGAATATGGGAACTTTGTGCCCGCTCATGATGGGCATCATGGCCTTCACTGTCAACTCTCGCTTCTTGTCTTTACTGTTCAATAGAGATAGGGAGGCATACATCCATGAGAATTAAGTCCGGTCTTGGGAAGCACTGGATAGGTAGTCTAACGCATGTAGAACCATTCTCCGCAGTGCAGCTGAGCCTCTTGTAGGCCTTGTGAATGGAGCACCAAGTGAACTGTCTAGGGAAGATGTTAATGATTATTAGATCAACCCAGTAGTGATATTATGGTAAGAGAACGTACCTGTAAGTGACGGCTAGGGTGTGTATTGTAGGGTGGCTTGGGATGTATAGGTAGGACGGGGACTGAAGCTGAGGGGCGGGGTTTTATTTTTCTGTTAATCACATACGGTCCTGTGAATCATGGATCCATACATGGGGATTGAACTCATACTACGTAGCACTGTAAGATTGATACCATCCTCACTCATTTGCTATCGCCAAGTTCCACCAAATCCATACAACACTCACCACTCGAAACCCGGTAGTTGCACAGACTGACTGCATCGTATGATTTCATAGGGAGGGTGCCAGCCTCGAGAAGGAACTCTCCATTCTTCTGTGTGCGAAAAGAGGCTACATAAGATATCATACTTCCCCTCTTCTTGTTTCTTGTCATATTATTGCGTCCAGCAAAGGCGCGAGGCATCATGTGACCCGCATACAGTCCCTACTACGTTGTACGACAATGGCAGTGGCGCACAATTCCACATCTCAAAGCAGTCGCCTGTGCTTGACGAGATTGACCGCAGCCTTTTAACCAACGGACACCATCAATCGAAGATTGGTATGGCACTTTTCTTTTGGCTTAGGCCTTTTCTCTGACCGTTGCTATCCATATAGAAACCTACACGTACGTTGCAAGTACACAGCTCCCAACTCGGTCCCATGGATCTCTGAGAGCTTCACCTGTATCCACTGATACCCTTCCACTCAAATCCAAGCCCAATTTTATTGGCTGCTCATTAGTACGCCCAAGATATTCGATTCACTCTTACCTTGGCCCATTCATCACGGCGCTATCATTATACCATGCCATGTCCGGCTACGAGCTCGAATCCAACGGGAGGATCGTATAAGGTATTCAGCCGACCGAAGTGCTTCATATATCTCAAAGAAAGAGTTCGGTGGGACAAGCCTCCGTTCAATGCTATATTTCAGACGTGTTCTGTGCAGAGAGATCCCTCTAAAAATGGTAAAGCAGAAACGAATATCACCAGCTTTGATTAAGAAGAGAGACGCGATTCTGACGGAGCGGTGCATATTCGGGGAGAAACTTGACCCATTATGGATGTCTATGACAGCCCAGATCATGTCTCACGATATGGAGACTTTTTCAGACCTCGACCAACAAGTGACCGATGCTGATGTCCTTGTTCAATACTTTGCACTTCACCGAGATCACGCATTCTGGACATTATGACGGAATGCGTTGGGAGGCTGTGCAAGGAGACTGGCTAGAGGACTGGTTATCGGGATATTGCCAGCATTGTCGTCTGATGACTAACCGTGGAGAATTATGGATTTGACAAGCTACCTTGGAAATTCACGGGATCGAATTAAGAAGTAGTGCGGGTGAAATACAGCACATCCGCTACGAATATCGCCAAAGCTCATCGAGCGCCAAACGAACCTTGTCGACAAGACATCAATGACACAGAAGAACCACACGTTGCCCAAAACCACAGTAATCAACAACAAGTGTTGATGACTCTCCAGCGAATTGACTCTGACTTAGCTGTTTTCGCATGCAGGCTACCTAATTTGATCACACTACGGTATAACTAACAACAGAACATAACAACTCACTGTCTGCTACGATCAAGATCCCTATTACCAATGGCATCTACCCCAATTAGACCCTGTTCCTTATAGAACATAAACTATCAAAGACACCAATGGAATGGTTGTTCTGAGTACAACAACGGAAACAGTGGCGTATCGGATACGCCGAGGTAAAGTAAGCCACCATCTTGACCTCTGATGGTCGATCGACATGACAGATAGTGATGTGTGTTTTTAGGAAAGGATCATCGCCGCTTATCATGGCATAGAGACTCCTGTTGCGCGGAATGTTCCTACGCTGCCTGAGGCCCTCTTGTTCCGCGGTAACTTGATCCCTCCCTACGGCCCCGGCAGAGCCCTCGGAGCCTAGCCCTGAGGACGCGTTGCACCCCGTTCAGTAGGAGTAACCCATGATCCCTACTGAAGTTTCCATACGATCGTACGGATGGTCCCCCAAGATACTACGGAACGGTCCAGAACGCCCGGCTGCGGGTGGCCTGGCTTGCCGTATATTAGGCCCCTCATGGCGCCTAGAAAGACGAATCTCATCAACCTCAATCAGAGCTCGGTTTTCTGCTGGCGGAGTAGTCGAGCCCATTTGCCCCTAACAATCTCAGGGACAGTTTAATAAGATGGGTTGCTGCCCTTTTGAGGGCTTGTGACTTCGACCCGTTCGACATCTCCACCGACCTCGTTTCTCCTATATGAGATGTTGCGAGGTATCATACTGACTGCATCATATGGTTTCAACCCAATTTATCCAACCTATGCGGAAGCCTTGCCATGTTCGTGGTCGAGGCAAAAGACTCAGGAATCTATGAGAAGGTCATTATCGAGATATGAGTCTTCGGTAAGATAAGTCCCACTGGCTTTGCGTGGGATCAACCACAGGGTTTATAGATGAGGACTGAGGGAAAGACGTATAACTCCGGGTATTTCTGTATACAGCTTGCTCATGCATGCCTTTAACTGGTATGGCTCATGAAGCGCGTGTATACGGCTTGCCCATGGTTGTCTCTACCTGGCATGACTCATGCAGTCATTAAAGTTGCTGGAATCTATTGGCTTCCCCGCAAATTCAAGAATCCTGACGATGGCCAAAGGAAAGGGTCAGGAATCAAGCGATATGTTCACCAACGACAAGGCCTTTGGGTGCCTCCCTCTAAGTTCCTAAGCGGAGAGGATCGAAACTCGGAATCCGAAGGGGTCATCAAAAGGAAGATAGTACTGCCCTAGAATGCCGTTCCTACCTTCTTTCTTCCTATCATGCATCCAAAGAAGGACGACTATGACTCTTCTCGAGTTATCCAATCACCCAGATGTTGTATATTTCATGGATTCTGCTACCAGGAAAAGAAAGACAGAAACATCACCCAGAACCATAGATCTCGACGAAGACATATCCTACCCTTCGAGTCCTCAGTGAATGATAAATATCGCAGGCATAACTGAACAAAATCGACCTCATGCGCCGCCGATATCTATACAGCGATCTCCTTCCACCCTCATTTCTCACTATAATGGCTCAAACATGATCCTCGACGGATATCATCCCCTGATCAAACATTGTGGTCTCCTATATCGACTCTATATCCTTTCTTCTTCTATTATATACTAACATTATCATCTATACCGTATCACACAGCCTACGTTACGCTATATCCTATCTCAAAAACTACCCGTACGTACCACAACCACAACATACTATACTACACTCCATCTTATCCTCTAAGTGCAAACACCCAAGAAGAATACAAAACTTGCCTCTCGACATGACACGTGTACGACCTTCTTGCCGTCGGGGATGTAACGCCTTTTTAGGGTAATCTTGGTATTGGTTATGTGTGACATGTTCGTGTAGGACGGTGGTGTTTTTTATTTTTGGTGGGGGGCTTGGAGGGGGTTCTGGACTGGTCTTTTTGAAGCTATCTTTTTCTAAGTCGTGATCTTTCGGGGTTGGGCTAGGATGGCGAGGAATATATGGTCTTGTGATCGAGGTAGATGGTTCTGGGTGCGGCCGGGGACAGATAGTATGTGCTTGAGTTTGGATTTTATCGCTCTTAGGGAGTGGCTAAGATATAAATTGGAAGCTGGAGTGTGGTTATTGGCTGTTCGGATAAGTTTTGTTGGGAGCCATGGGTGGTGGTTTATCTTGGGGTAAAAGTATGAGTTCAAAGGGAAGGAGAAAGCCTATTCAACCCTGTTGGTATTTCTGAAACTTTATCCTGGTTCATATAGCGATACTTGTAGTAAAAGCTGATGTGAAGGTGTTCAACTGAAGGAATCACTTGAACAGTGGTAACATTGCCAAAAAGCGCCATAGTCTCTAGCAGAGATCGGGTAATCAAGAACAACAAACAGCGTCATCAAGCAAAGTCCTTCGTTAGTTCCTAACTGGCATCGACAGTATGTGAATGGTATCTGAGTGGAATATTTACAACTTGGCCAACATCTTGCCGCCCTGTTGCAACAGAGCAGCGGCATCCGTTACGAGCTCGTCAACAATAGCCTTCGCGGGCTTCTTCTCGTTGACAACGGCGGCAACCTTGCCCATCAGGTAAGGACGGGCATTCTCGAGTGTCTCGTCATCTACGTCGTCGGGAAGATTCTCCATGTCGTGCTCGGCCGGGATGATACCCTTGGAAGTGAGCTGCTTGATCTCCTCCTGGCGGTTCTCCTCCCAGTTTTTGATGTATTCGTTGTTGCGGACGCGGAGCGGGCGACCCTAGACAAGTTAAAATTCATTCAACTAGCAGAATGTTGAATCGAAATTACCGTGAAGATGATGGTGCGAATGGTGTCGTCAAAGCTAGCAGTACGGACGGCCTCCTGGTGAGCCTTAGGAGCGCCGGCCTCATCAGCCAAGATGAAGCGGGTACCAATCCAGACGGCAGAAGCACCAAGCATCAGAGCGGCGGCAACCGAGTTGCCGTTGTACAAGCCACCTGCAGCGACAACTTGCACGGGAAGACCAGTCAGGGGACTCTTCTTGCCCTGGCACAACTTGGCCACCGTCGGAATAAGAATCGTCGTTGGGACGTTGCCAGTGTGACCACCACCCTCACCACCTTGAGCACAAATGATATCCGCACCGGCGTCGAGGGACTTCTGGACGTGCTTGGGGTGACCGATCATGTTCATATATAGGATGCCTGCAGCATGGAGTTTATCGACAACATGTTTGGGAGGGATACCGACGGCGGAGACGAAGAGCTTAGCGCCACTCTCGATGATGATGTCGACAAGTGCGTCAAGCTTGCCCTTGGTGTAGTCGTAGCTAAGGTACAGAACGCGGATTAGCATCAGGGGTTGCCGTTCATGATACAATCACGTGCGAGTCTCACTTGGTCTTGCGGGCACTTCCTCCGACCTGAGGAAGCAGCAGGTCGACACCAAAGGGGGCATTCTTGTCAACCAAGAAGCTCTTGAGCTCTGCGATTTGCTCACGGAGCATGTCGGGGGTGTAGCCGACACCGCCAATAACACCCAGTCCACCAGCGTTGGTGACCGCGGCGGCCAACTTGGGACCGGCGGCCACGTTCATTCCTGCCAGCAGGACGGGGTGGTTGATCTTGAGCAGATCAGTAAGTGTCGTACGGATTTTCTCTGAAAGAACGAAGTGAAATTAGCATGAAGCGCCCTGGAGAAGCCAACATGGCAGATAATGTTGTCAAAGAGGCGGTGGCGAGGAAGCTTACGAGGAGAGGCCATGTTTGAGGGAGGTTAAAAGCTGCAAAACAGGGTCAAGTTGACAGGAGACGAAAGCTTAAAGGTTAAAAGAGGTGTGTCAGTTGGCAGTAATGGAGGGAGGTGGAGATCCAGGATACCCAAGAAGCAATTATAAAGAAAGGCGAGCAACCAGCCAGGCCGGGGGGGACCGAGGACAAGCGGTCCCCATGAGCCTCGGTCCAGGGCGTGTCACGGATCAGGCTATCGAAGGCTAAACCTCACCCCGACATTCCTGCCGAACCACCTGATACCCGCTGCGGGGGTGAGCGGCTAGTGTGTAATGCCTAAGGCCACCCGTCCAAGGCGTCAGGCCGCCAGGTGTCGAGACTCTAGTGTCAGCTGACCGCGCGCCCCGGGCCTTGCGCGGTCCGTGGCATGACGTATTTTCTTCCCGGCTCCGCTGTAGATCTCGCCTCTGCACTTCGCTCTGGAGATCCGTGGCGGGCTAGTAAGTATGAGTCTCAGGCCAGCTGTGACCTGGCATAGCAATGCTGTCCCCTTGACGCCGGCCATCCGGGGCTTTCACCCATGTCGGTTTCCCACCACAAGCCTGCTGTCTTCTCGGACAAGTAGAGGTAGGCCTTTTGCTAGCAGATCATATGTCAGCTTGGTAGAAAGGTAGGTTCGCTGATAAGAATCGAGTATATCATTGTCTGACCAACTTCATAGAAATTTGTCTATTTCTGGTATGGATCCCTTCTAGGTTCTCACACAGAACTGCTTTTCGATGCATTCATCCCCCGAAGCCACTTATGCTACACTGCCATTGGCTCAGAGTCACCAAGCTTCACTGATACCGTTCCGAGGTTGAGACTAATTCACGCTCAGGACCCCTGCACGCTAGTCGATTGACCAAGGACACATTGGCTGGCGTCAGTGCAAAGAGATCCAGCTATGAATCCTTGAAGCCACTCTCTCTCAGCCGTAAGCTCTCGACTAGCCGAGCACAGCTATTCAACAGCAGCATGAATCAAACACACCCCTCCACCCATCGCGCATTTATTGCGTTTGGGAGTAACGTGGGGGATCGTATTGAAATGATCGAGGCTGCCTGTCGGGAGATGGAGCGAGCCAGCATTAGGATCAAGAGGACGAGCTCCCTGTTTGAGACAGCTCCGATGTATGTTCTCGACCAGGATCCATTCATCAATGGAGTGTGCGAGGTCTGTCTACCAACGCTCTTTACACGTTAGCCATTCTAATATCTTTTCAGGTAGAAACCAGTCTGAGCCCTATGGAACTGCTGGATACCCTACAAGCCATTGAGATCGGCCTCGGACGGAGAAAACTGATTGACAAAGGACCGCGCTCGATCGACCTAGACATTCTTCTCTACGATCAGCAAATATTCTCTCACGAGCGTCTGTACATACCACACCAGTTGATGCTAGAGCGCGACTTCGTCCTCCGACCCCTATGCCAGTAAGTTTCCCCCAAACAAACAGCAAAACAGCCCAACTAACCAACAACCCTCAGACTCATCCCTCATGAACGTCCCCCCTTCCTCGGCCACGCCAAAAGTTACCTCGCACACCTCAAGACCCTCCCACCCCCCGAGCCAACACCCTTCTCTACAACCCCAATATCAAACCACTTTCCCGCCATCCACTCGACCAACCCCAACCGCCCAACCCACATAATGGCCATCCTCAACCTCACCCCAGACTCCTTCTCCGACGGCGGCATCCACTCCCCCCAAGACCTCGCCACCCTAACCACCACCGTCCGCAACTTCATCCAAGCCGGCGCCACAATCATCGACATCGGCGGTGAAAGCACCCGCCCAGGCTCCTCCCCAGTCGGCGAAGCCGAGGAACTCGCCCGCGTGATCCCCGCCATCCGACACATCCGAACCACGATCCCCGAAGCAGCCCACGTCGCAATCAGCATCGACACCTACCGCGCCCGGGTCGCCGAAGAAGCCTGCGCCGCCGGCGCCGACATCATCAACGACGTATCCTCCGGCCTCCTCGACCCCGAAATGCTCCCTACCATGGCCCGCACCGGCAAATCCGTAATCCTCATGCACATGCGCGGCACCCCCTCCACAATGACCAAACTAACCGACTACCCGAACGGAGTCATCCAAGACGTCGGCACCGAACTTCTCCAGCGCGTAGCCGCCGCCGAAGCAGCCGGTATTCGCCGCTGGCGCATCATCCTCGACCCGGGTCTCGGGTTCGCCAAGAACGAGCCCCACGATCTCACCATCCTCCGAGACCTACAACAGTTCCGGACGGGGATCGAGGGCTTAGAATACTTCCCGTGGTTAATGGGACCCAGTCGGAAGCGATTCGTGGGACGGTTGACGGGCGTACAGAAAGCAAGTGAACGCACCTGGGGCACTGCTGCCACAGTAGCGGCTAGTATTGCCGGCGGGGCGGATATCGTGCGTGTTCATGATGTGAAGGAGATGTGGCAGGTTGCGAGGGTGTCGGATGCGATTTATCGGGGAATCTCATAGTCTGATGGATGGACGGGATGTGAAAAGTTTGCTATGTCTTTGTATATTCAACTATAAGATAATGGGCTAGGGATGGAAATTGGTATAGTGGGAGGGTAGGAACTTGGTTGGAATGGGTTTCCTGAGCATGTATGGTGCCGGGAAGGGTTCAACCCCAGTGGATCCTGGGGTAAGGTTCACTTCTAGATAGTGATAGAGATATAGCTGGGTACGTAGTGACATATCGAGTAATGAACATGGTGTCAAATGTACTGCAAGTTTGATGGAGCTCTGTTCGGTCATGGCCGGGGGTATGTCCCATCACCCAGTGGTTATCCATCGCATGCAAGCTGTAAGGCATTAACGTATAACGAGTAAAAAAGCCCGAAGTGATCAATAAATGATAAAGCTCCTATGTAATTATCCAATCTAAGCTGCGCCAGGGCCCAAGCAAAGCAAAGCCAGTAAACGCGCAAACAAGGTGTACATCGAAACCAAACGAGTGTCAACTCCGGCCATAGATCCTAGTAATCCCACACTTTGGGACACCTCATATAGCAGCCAGTATATAACCCCCGCGATCCAAACAAACAGCAAGCGAACGACAGGAAGTGATCTCAAATCAATAACCCCTGGCTAACCACTGAACCACGGGAGTGAACGAAAGTGGACCACCCCCCTGGGGTACCCACTGAGCCACGGGAAAGAACCCACTTGATTCCCGCTCATAGTTATCGAACGGCACAGCAAAGTCCCAGACTCTAGGCAACAACTCTTGCTCGACAAAGTACTGATCAGTCTCCAAAGCTCGAAATTCGAATTTTTCCAAGTGATTAGGAGTGTAAAATATTGTGGGTTGGATCCATTTGATCGGTTCCGTGGTGTTCGTCGAGTCATTCCACGCCTTCTGCCGAGTTGGTGTAGCGCAATCGCTGAAATGTTCTTTGAGGTCTGCGTAACGGCTGGTGCTGAGGTATCCAATTGAGGCTTGTTTGGAGAAGGTAGGTTCATTGGTGACGTTTTGAGGCAATATTCTGATTTCGTATTCCATACCTTCGATGTGGGAGATGCTGCCGGTGGCGTGGTGGAGGTCACCGCCGCCGGCTTCATTTTCGACCCACAGGCCATGGTGGTATTGGGGACAGGCATAGACATGAGGATCCTCTGCACCTGGTGGGATGTCGAACCAGACCTGAGCGATTCGGTAGGTTGGGTGGGTGATCAGTCGCTTCGGACGAGGTTTGTAGGACTCCGGCGGAGGCGAACCATCCTGAGGTTTAGAAGTCTCAAAGTATTCTTAGTGGGAGTTGCATAGCCATGTCGGCTGCTGCGGTAAAGTGAAGTAGGGACATAGTTAGGTATGGCGAGTTGGTAATAATGTTTTTCTAAGTTTGGTGCGAGAACGAGGCTGGTGGGGATCTTGGGAAGAAGGTTTTATAGGGGAGTGATATGGGGATGAAAGAGTGTCAGGGAGGAAGGTGCGTCCGAGTGCTGCACTCATATCCACTTGAAGTGCAGCGTTGGAACATATGTGTTCTGCATGTCGAAGCAATTCGTGTTTTATTCATCAACTTGATTCTAGCACTCCTAACCTACTCATGTCCAACAAATATACCAGAATGCAGGCAGCCAACATGTTCAATGAAAGGCAATTAATGATTTTAACTAACGCGGAAGAATAACGTCGATGAAAGCGAGGAAACCGACCTGGACCGATAAACGGATCTTTTAGTGTCCAGCAGTTCTAACCATACGGGGCATTGCGCCAACCACGTCGTCGAAATGATTCTGTTTATCAGGGTACTAATCAGGGGAATAGAAGATGGAGACAGAAACGCCACATATGAAGGAGATCGAGTATAAAGCTGGCTAACAAGGGTCAGGAGAAGCCGAAGTGGGAATCGAAAGCGTATCGGTGTGGTGTTCGAAGCGCACATGTTTAGCTGTTCAGGTAGCTGCGTATAGCGCCTAGATAATCCGTGAGTAAGGATTCGATGTGTATGGACAGGACAGACTCACCTTGTAGCTTGGTTGCACCCTCCCCGACAAGCTGCGTCAAGTTCTCAAGGTCATCACCCGCAGTGATACCAAACCGGCGCACAAAGTCCTTGGCGGCATTCTCGAGATCCCCGTAGGTATCATCCCCAGCAGGAAGGTCATCCTCAGGGCGGCCGAAGTAGGAATTGCTAGAGATAGCAGTGGCACCGTCAAATTGACGAAGACGGTCCTTGGCCTCAGCCTGCGCAGCAGGGTCGAATCGCTCCCGTCCGAAAAACTCGTCGGAGGAGATGCCCTTCTGGCTACCGAATCGGGACTTGGCCTGCTTCAGTTCTTCGTCTGTAGACAGTTAGCCCGTGTCCAATAAAAAGACTTCAACGATACACGCAAACGTACCATCAGCTGCAGACCTGGAAGGAATAGCACCAAAGCCCAACTTCTTCGGAGCAGCAGGCTTCGGGGCGCCGACAGTTTGGCCAAATCCTAGCCGTCCAATTCCCATGCCAAGGCGCTCCACGTCACCTGAACTGCGCTCTTGGACGTTCTTGCTAGGGCTAATAGGAGTCGGCGAGGCGATCGCCGTAGCAGCAGTGCTGGTAGCCTTGGCCTTGGCATCTGCCTCAGCCTTTTCAGCTTCAGGGTCGTAGCCCAGCTTCTCAATGCGTTCAGCTTCTTCTCTGGCCTTTCTCTCCGCCTCTTCGAAATCGATGGCTTCTGCGGCGACGATCTTCTTGGCCCCCAGCTTGGGGGCCTTCTTGGCACCCAACACGCTGCCCTTCTTCGCAGTGGTGGTCGAGGCAGTCTTGCGAACAGCAGCGCTGGCCCGGATGGCGGTAGGAGCGGGAGAAGAGCTGTCCTTGTCGGAGGCGGACAAAGGCGACTTGGAACGCGAGCCGTTTGCGCCGGAGTTCAGGAACGGAGAGCTCGTGCGACTGACAATAGGAGGGGTACCGGTACGAGAGGGAGGGTTGCTTGGGCGCTTGATGGATGGCTTATCCCATGAGGAGAAGAAATCGTCATCCTCCCCGGCCGGGGTGCTGGAGCCATTGGACGGAGTACCGGCGGGGATGTCTGTAATCACAACCTCCTCGGGGTACCTGTGCGTGGGACGAATAATTAGACCGAGAACAAGTATGAAAGGCCAGGATCACTGACTGTTGCGCATCCTGTGCAGCCCGTCTCTTGAGTTCCTCCTTGTACTTCACGGCGGCGTTGCAGGTGTACTTGGTTTTCGGGTCCTTGCTGGCCAGAGCGGCAGATCCGCCGTGCGACTGGAAGTACTTGGTAGCGGACTCGTTACCGCCAACCTTCATAGTCCGGAGTTGTTCCCATTGCCATTCTGCATGTATCACATTAGCCCCGACAAGCCGTAAACTCAGAAGATGCGATGCTGCATACGATCGAGGTTGGTAGAGCGGACAAAGGAGATGTGGACACCCAGATTACGGTGGTGAGCCGAGCAGTCCAAGCAGAGGTAGATACCGAAGGGCACCGACGACCATGTTGGGTTATTGGAGCCACAATCGAAGCAGATCTGCCACGCAAGAGTCAGAATGGTTGGCCGGGCAGGCTGGCGAGCTGGCGGGGAGGGGCACGGCGCACCTTGTTTGCGGGCTTGAGTTTTAGCTTCTCAAAGATCTTCTGAGACTCCGCCTTGGAGGCACTCATAGTGATGGGAGGGATAGGATAAAGGACCCGACGAGAGGGAGAGGTACGGTCCTGCAGGCGGAATAGGATGGCAGGTCTTCGGGGAGGGAGAAAGAGGGATCCAAATTGCAGGCGGGAGAGCGAACGTGGTCGGATTGGGAGCGCCGTCGTGACCCTGCCACTTTTGCGTCCCCCATCGGGTATTTTTAACTTCGGGCCTTATTTTTGAGTGGCACCTCCAAGACCACGCTAGTGGCGAAGCAGCACAACAATCTGGATCGCCATTCACAGTTGGCGATGTGACCGATCATGATACGTCAATTGAACCTCTCCTTGGCATCTTTTCGCACCCTCCGTGATGGACATATAGGAACACGGCCACTGTTTTGATCACCCAGTCCCCAGCTGGTACTGCAAATACACCCGCCCCCATCCGTACCGAAACTTTCAGAGCGGCGGCTGAAACACCGGAAGTGGATGCCCACGTGACCCACCCGATCCCCACACGGCCATGGACCACGGCTCTCCCTCGACATTTTTATGAAAGCATCCGACAGCTCTACCAGCTTTTCCATGCTCCTCGCCGCACTGAAACACTCCTAATCCGATGCGGACCTGGGTGATGGTCAACCGCCGCAATGCTTCCACACCTACGACCTAGTCCTGCCCTGTCCCGGGTACCCGCAGCCCTTCTACGTCCGAGCCTTCCCCGCACGACGGAACTAGCACGCTGTTATGCCACCCAGACCGGAGGATCGGGGGCACCGAAACGGAGAAACGTCACGATCTTGTCTGATGATGGGCGCTATGAGTGGGGGGAGCTGAGCGGGAGGGAGAAGGTTGCACGGGCCACGCAGCAATCGTTCAACTTTGTTGTTATTGTCGCGGGTGCTGTGTTGACGGTGAGAAGGACCTGCATGGTATAGATAGCTCGGGAAGGGCTGCGCTGATAATGGGCAGGGCGGTGTTTTCTATCTGCTGTATACGGAGGTCTTCTCTCCGAACAGCAAGACTTGGCAGTTTGAAAAGGCTGTCGAGCGCATAAAGGACGACGCGCGCTGTACGGATCTTCTCGGTGACCGGAGGGAAATCAAGTTCTATGGTGACAATACCTGGAGTAGATGGGCGCGGAGTCGCCCTATTGCGTGGGTGCCATTTCCGTACCGGCATTGGACGATGCTAACTGGGATGTAGGAGTTCTATCTATCAGGACCGATTGGGTCGCGAACATCTGAAGATGAACTTCCATGTACGCTAGTTTCTTGTCTGAGGGGGTATGGTTTACTAATTGTCGATAGGTCGAGGGTCCGCTTAATTCCGGTACCGTGTTCGTACACATGATGAAACCTTTGGACCACCACGAATGGGAATATCAGCTTCTTGCCTTGGAAGTGCCGGGTTAGTCGCATAGCCTTTGCTCGATGAACTTCTTTACTGACATGTGTAGGACATTCCCGTATTGTTCTAGAGCAAGCCCGCGAGAAACCCGGAGTCGGACAGGCACTCAAAATCTTCGGCATACGGTGGCGGTAGATTGGAGCGGTTTGCCGATCTTTTAGCTGCATTTTGCAGTTGCGGATTCAGTCATTGAAACAAACGGAATATATAGGCTGGGCTGTGTTTGGGTTTGAAAGACTATATGTCTGGAGCATAATCCACTGGCCTATTCACCGTTGACTAAAATTGCTGTCTGGAGGCTATTAACAGGGAGCTTCAAGCTTTCCCTTATTTTGCAATGACTCTAATGCGGTTGAGTTCTCCGAACTGTGTATAATTAAATCCCTACGGGTGTACAGCATACCATACGAGACACAAAAAGACAACACAAAGATAAGACAGACTCCGAGATGTACTATCATCAAAGCAGCTCATGAAGTTCTAAAAGCTTTCTACATAAAACTCGTATCACATATTTACAGACCATCCATCAGCCTCTCATATCCGGGGACCCTCCAGAATCGGCTTCGCCGCCTCTGTCGTCCACCAACTCTTTCCCGGCTCACCCGGAAACGAGAACTCGTCCATACTCTCCGGCTTCATCTCTACACTGTATCCGGGCTCCAGAGGAGTAACATAGTATCCATCCTTCACACTGGAGGGGTGCACAAAGTGCTCGTGCAGGTGATCCACATACTCCAACACACTCTTTTTTCCGCTCACAACGACATAGTCGATCGTGCTCAGGTGCTGCGTGTACTCGGGCAAACCGACACCACCGGAGTGAGGCACGATGGGCACACCGAACTTACGAGCAAGGAGCAGGATAGCAAGAACCTCGTTCACACCACCGACACGGCACGCGTCGGCCTGGAGGACGGTCAGAGCTCCTGCCTGCAGAAGCTGCTTGAAGACAACACGGTTCTGGCACATTTCACCAGTGGCGACGCCAATAGGGCCGTAGGGGGTATCTTGGAGAGCCTTCTTGATGGCGGCGTGGCCGAGGATATCGTCGGGGGAGGTGGGCTCCTCGATGAACCAGGGCTTGAACTCGGCGAGTTGTTGCATCCAGGTGATGGCTTCGGGGACGGACCAGACCTGTTCATGAAATTATTAGCATTGGGTAGAGTAAGAGGCAGTAGTTGTGGTGAAGGTAGATGCACCTGGTTCGCATCAACCATGAGGATGTTGCCCCTGTCGTATCCGATAGCTTCACGGGCAATGGCCAGTCTCCTACGGTCTTCCTCGACGTTTCCGCCAACCTTCAGTTTGAAGTGCTTGTATCCCTGCTCCACACTCTCCTTCAGAAGAGTCTTCAGCTTGTCCTCACCATATCCCAGCCAGCCTGCGCTGGTAGTGTAAGCCGGCACAGCCTGGCTCTGCTCGGCCTCCTTGATACGGTCCTGCTTGCCGGACTCAACCTCCTTCAGGAGGGAGATGGCCTCTTCAGGTGTGATGGCGTCCGTGATGTAACGGAAGTCAATGCAGCGGACGAACTCCTCGGGAGACATATCCGCCACGATGCGCCAGACAGGCTTGTTAAGAGTCTTGGCCCACAGATCCCAGAGGGCGTTAACAACGGCTCCAAGGGCCAGGTGGATGACACCCTTTTCGGGTCCGATCCAACGGAGCTGGCTGTCGGAGACAAGGTAGCGCCAGGTCTTGCCCCAGTCGGCAGTAAGTTCGTCGAGGTCCTTTCCAACGACTAGAGGGGCGAGAAGGGAAATGGCTGCGCAGACGATCTCGTTTCCGCGGCCGATGGTGAAGGTCTAAAATTGGTAGGGTTAGTCCTGAAGGGTATGGGAGTAGGGGAGGTGAGGCTAATGCGTACCATGCCGTGTCCGGCGTGCTCGGAGTCGGTGTGGATGATGCAGTAGGCGGCGGAGTAGTCGCCTGCTGCGTTCATGGCATCGGAGCCGGTCTTATCGAGGGAGGTCTGTCAACGTGGATTAGCATGTACAAAGCGTGGGTGACTCGGAGAATGCGCGTGCGACGTACAGGAAACCTCACGTCCCGCGTGGTGAAACTCAAAAGCTTGACCATGGTGCCGACTGATCCAATTCAATTGGTTTTAGAAGGAGTGGAAAAGGAAGCCTTTCCGGGGAATGATTGCAATTTACTGCAATGCGGGGCAGCCGGCTGTTCAAGTATGAGCTCCGCACGTCAACACAGGATATGAACGAGCAAAAGAAGCAATTGGAAGTTGCTGTAGACACCCGCAACCTCACGAAAAACAATTGAGAGAAACCGACAAGGATAGGGAAGCATCAAGAAAGTCGCAGCCGGGCCGGGCGTACTTATACAAGGCGCGCGGGCACCCCTCCCCCTCCACGCAGTGTGGGGAACTGCCCCTCATTGGCGGAGGAATTACTCCAGGCCGTGGGCTGGGTTTCTCCGCCACTCACAGGCCACCGCTGGCCGGTCGGAATAAACCCGTCTCTCGTACGGCTCCCCAGGGTTCTGGGGCCATCCCCGGTGACTTGCGGGATTTAGCTTAATTGGACTGATTCTGGTAGTCCAGAACTAGGCCTGAAGTTGCGCTACGTTGATAGAAGGATCATAGGGAGGGAAACTGGCCAGTCACAATCATGTAGTTTGCTCCTAGGAGCGGATATCAAATTCAGTTACTATCGCTTGCGTTGAGTACAGATTCTTCGAAGATATGGGCATGAAGATTGTGTCCGTATTGCTTTGAGACGGGTTAACCTTCCCTTGACACTGAGCCTGATCGCACATATACACCATTTACCCAGAAAGTCCTCTCTTCTCGCTCTCCGAGAAGAAAATGATCATCCTCCACAGCTTGCGGACCAGAACCTCGGCCTCTTCGTCTAGTGCCTGTATATCAAAGTTAGCAAAGAGTCTAGATAAAACGCAAACGAGATAGACAAGCTCAGCTTACCTCCTCTAGCTGTTCCACAAGCTCCTGGGGATGGCCATGTTTGCGAACATGTTCTTCCACCACGTCCACCAGCATCTGCTCTTGAACGCCCAAGTATTCCACAATCTTCTTCTCGACAAACGGCTTGAGCTGGTCGCTAACCACTGTTTCATCCACAAACTCCCACTTGACCTCCCAGCCCCAAAGTCCATCCTTGTCGGTAGGGATCTCGGCAGCCAGTTGTCGGGCAGCTTGTGCCCGCTCCTCGTCTGAGAGACCGGCGGCTTCGGCGGCGCTGTCGAACTTGATCGGGATAAGAGGCCGTCTGGCCGTGGCTTGGGGCTCTTCTTCGTCCTCCAGCAGCCCTTCCACCTCGGCAACAGTCCGACGGGTCGTGGCAGCTTGAGCCTTTTGCGCGGCAGCCCCAAGAGAGAGCTTGAAGCGCTGTGGTTCTCTGGGTGCCTGGTTCCGGGTCTCCAGCTCCTCTGCCTGTCGTGCAAGGAAGTCGTCTGCCATACCGCGAGCCTGCTCCCGTTGCTGGACAGACCGGGCCCGTTCGCGTTCTTCCGCCGCACGATCCGCCTCATCCATGCTGATCTCGCGGGCGCGGAAGGCCGCGCGACTACGAAGCCATGCCCCGCGATCAGCATAATAGTCGTCCACCTTACGGCTGGCCTCATTGTCGTCGTTCCACTCTCCGTATCGCTTATCCATTTCGTCGCGTACTTCCTGGACCTTGGCCTCCTCTTCCTTATCTCTCTTCTTCTCACGCTCCAGAGCGGCAGTTCGGCTTCGTTCACGGTTCAGCCAGCGCCGTTCTTGATCGAGGAATTGCTTTTCTAGTTCCGCCTCCTTTTTCTCCTGACGCCGACGTTCCAACTCCTCGTCGCTAGCATCCGACTCTTCTTCCTCGCGATCTATGTAGGCAGTAGTAGCGCCGTTGATAGAGCCCCCGTTGACAAAAGACACGCCCTTCTGATAATCCTTGGGAACCTGCACCCCAAATCCCTTGGGGCCAGACGGCACGGTAGACACAGTACGGTCCCGAGGGCCAAGAGGAACTCCATTAGCGCCAGCAGCAGGTCCGCTAGGGGCGGAAGGCGGAGGAGATGCCAGTCGGCTGATACGCGATCCGGCATTGCGAGCTCTCTCCATAGACTCGATTTCTTCCTCCCTCTTCAAACGTTCAATATCTCGGCGATTGCTGCGTTCACGGAAGGCAGCGATCTCCTTCGCGACTGTTTCTCTCATTTCAGGAGGGATATCGGAAAGTTCGTCTTCGACTGTGATGGGGATGGTGACAACCTCCGCCCCAGTACCATCGGTCTGGCCCTCCGTATCCTTCATTGTTGTATCTCCTTCGCGATCAATTGCCGAGGCTTCTTCTTTCTGAGTGGGAGAAGTAGGATGACACAAATCCGATAGGACGCTAGCAAGGGTACTGCGCGCAGCATCTAGCCGGGCCTGGCGCTCGGCTGGGTCTTGATCACCTCTGCTGGCTTCGTACTGCTCCAGGTAGTTCAACGAGCTGTCATCAACGACAACCTGCGCCTTCTGTTAGCTGTTGATCTGACATTGCGAGACCTCGACATACCAGAAGTGTGCTCTTCTCAACCTCGCGCTCTTCCCTTTCATCTCCCTCGGACGGCGTCTGTCTCTTCACAGGCACTTGCACGTCCTTTAGCACTTCAACAGCAGTACCCAGACTTTCGGGGTCCTCGTACTCTGCAAAACCAAATTTGCACGGTTTATCGTCTGCGTCCGTAGCGCGGATCCAACGCCTAAGATTGCCCGCTGAACGGAGGATCCTTTCCACGCCCTCGTCGCCACCAACACCCTCAGTTATCCCACCGACAAAAAGGGTCCGCACAATTTCCTCTCGTGTAGGGGGCTGCAGCTGCATCATCGCATCTCGCACGTTTTGACGCTGGGACTCCAGGCTTGCTGATCCCAGACCGGGCCGCCTCCCCGGAGCCTCGCCACGCTCCTTGTTTGTGTCCGGAGTAGCAGACTTCGAGGGCCCAGAGGTACCTAGTCGGATGACGGGGGCGGAGAAGTTGATATTGGGCATGTTCGGAGGGGGTTGGAAGTTGGGAGGGAAACCTGCAGGTCGACCAGGCTGCTGGGCGTTTGCCGGCTGCATCCCGGGGGGCGGGGTGGTTCCAGGCGCTACCATACCGGGGGGAGGAGCTATGGAGTCAGTAAGCCTAGAATGGCAGCGGGCATTTGAAGATGTTGGACTCACCCATGCCTGGAGGCGCGCCGGGATACCCTCCGTACTCTAGGGGCCTGCCATAGAGGCCAGGGGCTGCAGATGTCAGTACATGTTGCTCGTTATTGATGACAGCAGGAAGGCCTTAATAATTGAAGTAAAGTACATACGCTGGTAAGGATTGTACATTGCGACGAGATCGCAGCTTCCCTACGATCGGTCAAAGTGCTAAGGTGCCAGAAATTTCTGAGGTAGGTTGAGTGAGGAACAAAGAGCAGACAAGGGATACAGTCGGAGCAGAATAAAGGCGTACCCTGCTATCGAAGGACTTCTTCTCAAAGGATCCCCAAGATAGAAACGTTTGAGCAGGTGAAGAAGATCGCGAGCTGCGGCGGAATTGCTGCTCGAAGAACCAGGTGGCCCGTGCAGCACTTCTTGGCACTTCCGCTCAGGCCTTGAATGCATCAACTGGCAGGTGTCCGCCATCCATTGTTTGGAGATCGGGTTTCAGCCGCTTAAATAGACCATGCGCGTGAACAGTATGCTCCAAATATCGCTCATATGATAAAGTCCAACTACATTACAGCTATATGGAGATTTCTGCTTCCACCTGCCCTGAGGAGGCTACTGACTTACAGCACCGCATCGTAGTCTATTGGAGATAGCGCAGTGGACTAGATCTGCATGATTTCCAGGTCTAATACTATCATCAAGTTCTGTTTCACTTTTATGGATCCCATGTTAGAGGAGTAGTATTGTGACACCTACAAGTAGCCAGAGAAGGGAGAAAGGAGGAAGCTGTTCTGAGAGTGTGGGCGTACTATATAGTGCGGGCAACTGAAGTACTAACACTGTTTGTCCTAGAGGTGACATTGTCTTATCCTCCGTAACACATTATTACCCAAGTACCAAGGCAGCAGCCAGTGTCAGATACTGCTTGATGACATATAAACGGGGAGGGACTGGAGGGATGGAGAGAGGCGTAGTGGCTTATGCTTTGACCTTAGCAGAAATTCTTCTGGCAGGTTTATCCACCGATGCTACTTTTAGCCTGTCTGCACATTATTGTTTCAGGGTGTTCCACATCAACTTGTGAACCGATTGCTATCAATAAAGGAGGCGGCCAATCTACGCGTAGCCTTACTTTTGCACTTTAAGGCATTTGCCAATAGGATGCTAATGGTGTGGGTGAAGCAGCAAGAAAGCCCGCATCGTACAATGTTCTTGTGTAACAGTCCTTCCTTCTTGGGTGCCCAATTAGCTCACTACCATGGAAAATTGATCTCTGTGCCTATACGGTATCGAAACTCTACTGTCTATGAGGGCCCCAGACTCTTCCTGGCTTCGGAGTTGTTCCACCATACCCCTGGTCATCATACCAGGGGTGCTACACGAGCAGCCTCTCAGAGCAGGATCCGTCGTGTTAGTAGGTATTCCTTAGACCTGGACTGGGACTTGCCATTGCGTTGTCCCTTGCTGGTCAATTCGAAACCTTGTTGGCCGTTAGATTGTCATTGAGTGATAAGTTTCTTTGCAGAGCCAAGCACAGTAGGAAGGGTAGCTAGAGATTCTGCCTAGAAGGCTGCTGGTTGATGTCAATGTATCTTGAAGTAGATTTACAGAAAAGAGGAGGAGATCAACCAATTCAAACAGAAGTGGAAGACGCAAGATTTAGAACGATCTCGACCGAAACTCGCGAGCTTCGATGGAAGATCTGGAAGGAAGACGTGGGGGTGATAATCATCGGCGGCCTTTTTCCGAGGAACTGTCAGGAACATTCCTCCTTACTGATATCGGGCTCATGGCAAATGTCAACTGGGCCTGATAACGGCTTGAATCCGACCGATTGCCCGGGGTGACGATGACGACCGGCTAATTGGGTTCTCCCGAGTCGAAGGCCATGGCTCGTCCGGAGCCCGTCTGTAGACAGTCTAGAATAAAGCGATGACAAACAGGATCAATGGGACACAGCTTTAGCCAAACGGTGTTCAGCTGACCGGCAGAGGTTTCTGGTCTGGACAAATCAACGGAGCACACCGGGAGATTCTGCGTCACGCAGGTGGTTCTGGGATTTCCTGGTCTGGGAGGACAGCCCCACGGCAGCCCCTCCTACGGACCCCAACACGCCGGTTGACGACATACCTGTCCGCCCGCCCTCCCAGCTCTGCCCATTTCCTCCGCGTCTCCCGCTCTCTCTTCCTCTTCCTCCAATTTCTCCTTCACTCCTTCGGTGCTTTGAGCTTCATCTATCCTTTACTTGCATCTTACATAAAAGGTAAGCATTCGCCCGGTCCCGCCCCAGCCCAGCTCTGCCTCCCCTCCATCAATCCCTCCTCAGCTCTGCCCCGCGCTAACGCTTCCCGTCTCCGGTCAGAGCTCTATAGCATCATAACACCATGCCTAGTTTCTCGCAGGCCACCGAACTCTCCGCCTGGAAGGAGCTCCAGGAGCACCACAACTCCGTGGGACGTAACATTGTCCTGAAGGAGTGCTTCCAGAAGGACCCCCAGCGCTTCGAGAAGTTCAGCCGTACCTTCAACAACACCGTTGACAACACGGAGATCCTTTTCGATTTCTCCAAGAACTTCCTCACCGAAGAGACTCTGGCTCTCCTGGTCAAGCTGGCCAAGGAGGCTAACGTTGAGGAGCTCCGTGATGCTATGTTTAAGGGTGAGAACATCAACTTCACTGAGGACCGCGCTGTCTACCACGCTGCCCTGCGTAATGTCTCCAACGAGCCTATGCAGGTCAACGGCAAGAGCGTCGTTGAGGATGTCAACGCCGTTCTGGAGCACATGAAGGAGTTCACCGAGCAGGTGCGCAGCGGCGAGTGGAAGGGTTACACGGACAAGAAGATCGACACCGTCATCAACATCGGTATCGGTGGTTCCGACCTGTAAGTTTGTCTAATCACACCCAGGGTATGCTGTACTGAACCTCTTGCTAGTGGTCCCGTCATGGTGACCGAGGCTCTCAAGGCCTACGGCTCCCCCGACATGAAGCTGCACTTCGTCTCCAACATTGACGGCACCCACATTGCTGAGGCTCTCAAGAACTCCAACCCCGAGACCACCCTCTTCTTGATTGCTTCCAAGACTTTCACTACCGCAGAGACCACCACCAACGCCAACACTGCTAAGAAGTGGTTCCTGGAGACCGCGAAGGATGAGGCTCACGTTGCCAAGCACTTCGTCGCTTTGTCCACCAACGAGGAGGAGGTCACCAAGTTCGGTATTGACAAGAAGAACATGTTCGGCTTCGAGTCCTGGGTGGGTGGCCGTTACTCCGTCTGGAGCGCCATCGGTCTGTCCGTTGCTCTTTACATCGGCTACGACAACTTCCACCAGTTCTTGGCCGGTGCCCACGCTATGGACAAGCACTTCCGCGAGGCTCCTTTGGAGCAGAACATCCCCGCTCTCGGCGGTCTGCTGAGCGTGTGGTACAGTGACTTCTTTGGTGCCCAGACCCACCTGGTGGCGCCCTTTGACCAGTACCTGCACCGTTTCCCTGCCTACCTGCAGCAGCTCTCCATGGAGAGTAACGGCAAGGCCATCACCCGTACCGGCGAGTACGTCAAGTACACGACCGGCCCCATTCTGTTTGGTGAGCCCGCCACCAATGCCCAGCACAGCTTCTTCCAGCTGCTGCACCAGGGTACCAAGCTCATTCCCTCGGATTTCATCATGGCTGCCGAGTCGCACAACCCCGTGGAGGGTGGCAAGCACCAGCGCATGCTGGCCTCCAACTTCCTCGCCCAGTCTGAGGCTCTGATGGTCGGCAAGACCCCTGAGCAGGTCAAGGCCGAGGGTGCTCCGGACAACCTGGTCTCGCACAAGACCTTCCTTGGCAACCGCCCGACCACCTCCATCTTGGCTCAGAAGATCACCCCCTCGACCCTGGGAGCTCTGATCACCTACTACGAGCACCTCACCTTCACCGAGGGTGCCATCTGGAACATCAACTCCTTCGACCAGTGGGGTGTGGAGCTGGGCAAGGTGCTTGCCAAGAAGATCCAGAAGGAGCTGGAGACGGCAGATGCTGGCGCGGACCACGATGCGTCGACCAGCGGACTGCTGCTCGCTTTCAAGAAGAAGGCCAACTTGGCATAAGCGATTGGATGTCGAAGAAGTTGAATAGCAAAAAGGCGTGTAAATTTTGATGAAGCCACGAGAGTCATCTTTAATATTAGTTAGCAATGAATCGCCATCTGGCAGACTGAACAAATCAGGTTAACCGAATTCCGATCCACTTTCGTAGGAATTGAATCCTCCATAGCAAGATGCGGTCCAGATAGACTCCTGAAAGCCGCACCCGTTTGGTCATAGCAGCGGGAAGGGTCTGGTCTCCTTACCGCGGCTCTCCTCCGACCACGCTGTCTCTCCTCATCAAAACCGCCCCCTACTCGTGGCACCCATTCCATCGCCGGCCGGCGGCGTGCGAACAATTATTGACTATCCCCTATCAATTATGGCCGTCCTTCAGGGGGGCCCCCTCCATCGGATCTATCACTATGGACTATTGACCTTTGCCTTGTTACGGCCCACGGCCGCGGGGACCAGCGAGCCCGCCACAGCCAGCACCGGCTACAATTATGGCCAATCGGTGCCAGTGACATGTCTCAATCGAACGATGTGAGCCTACCCATACCAATTTCAGACCAACGCATCAATTGAGTCCCCAAAACTAACCACTCCATCCTACTCCAGTGACTCCGGCGAACATGTACGTCACGTTACTCCCTAAACCCACCATTCCCTCCCACCCTACAAGTCCTAACCAAAGACCCCCAAATCTAGATCACCGACAACCTCGGTAAACTCCAATACATCCCCTTCCCAACCTGCAACGAGACCCTCCAACCCCTAACCCTCCACTACGGCGTCCCCGAAACCCTAACGTGCACGATCGCCTCCCTCCCCGACGACCTCTACCACCTCCTGGAATACTACGTCCACTCGGATGTCCCCATGACGTGTCGCGTGCCCAGTGCGCCCCTGGCAAACCAGGCAATCGGGGATGAGGATACAGGGCCTGCGTATACCCCGATTACGTTTGCGGTGCAGGGCACGTTGCAGTTGAGTCATTTGCATCTGTGGACGGATTTGAATGTTTTGGTGCATAGTATTGGGGATTCATTGGGGGGGAGGGATGGGGAGGGGGATGGGGGGTATGTGGTTGCGGGGACGGCGTATTCGGTGCCGGAGTTTGAGGAGAGGAAGGGGAAGGGGATTGGGAAGGGTGGGGATGGGGAGGAGGGAGTGGTGGAGGCTGCGAAGGAGCCGTGGACTGCGGGGCATGGGACGAAGGTGGTTAGGGGGGAGCCGTTGACGTTTTCGTTGAGTGTGAGGTGGGTGGAGGGGGGGAGGGGGATTGGGTGGCCTTCTTCTGGGAAGGAGGAGGATGGGCAGGGAGGTGGAGGGGGGGGGTTTTCGAGGGTGTTGTTTTTTGGATTGGCTGCTAGTTTGGGGGCAATGGGGGCGTTGTATTGGGAGAGGAATGGCAGGGGACGGGGTGGGAGGGATGGGATTTTGGGTGTCCCGGTTAGAGGGAAGGGGGCTGTGGGTGTTGGCTTTGGGAACGGAGGGAGGATTAATGGCTATGGAGGGTATTCGGCTGGTGCTGGGGGTGGTAGTGGTGGTGGTGGTAGTTCTACGCCTGGGGGGTATGGGTATGGAGGGTATATGAGTGGGAAGAGGGATTGATGGTTTTGGTTACTGATGAGTTATGCTGGATGATAGATGGTATAAGTAAAAGGGATAGGCGGACATAGTATCAATTGATGTAAATTCTACTGACGAACATGGCAAACTGCAGACCAAACATAAAACAGATAGTATACATGTAGTATCAAAGGAACCTAACGTTTTATCCTCCCATCACCATCCTCCCTAGCAACCCCTTCATCCCCATATATACATCCCTCCCATAAGCAAAGAGATTGAGAGAGATTACCACCCCTGCGCCCTAATCTTATGAATCCTCTTAATCGTCGCCCCAAACGAAAACTTAAACAAATACCTCCAGCGCTTAATCTTGAGATTCTTCCTGAGCTGACCCTTCCGTATATGAAACCGCTGCGCCTGCAGCGACGCCTTAACCTTATTCTGATTCAACACGGTGGTCAACCCCCTCAACGCGGCGGGCAAATCCATGCCCTTCTCCGGCTCCACGGTGATCTGACGACCCAGCTTGGGACCCAGCTTCAGGTCGACGCGGCGCGACGCGGCCCGCAATGTATCGGTTTCTGCGGATTGGCTGACGGCGCGGGAGACGGAGAGGGGGTCGTTGTTGAAGACGCGGGAGCCGGGGGTGCGTTCGTTGGCGGAGGTACGGGTGGTGCCGGTGGTGGTGTTGATGTTGAGTTTGTTGAGGATTTGGTCGAAGTCGGTGGTGGCTGCGGCGGGGGGTTGTTGGGGTCGGTTGGCGGTGCGAGAGGGAGGGGCGGATTGAGTGGGAGCTGGAGCTGATGGAGGGGTGGTGGTGGTGGTGGTGGTGGTGGTGTTGTTGTTGTTGGATCCGGAGGATGCGAATCGGAGACCAATTCGTCCGGGGAGGAGTTGGAGGGTGGTGGTCGGCCTCGAGCGGAGGCATTGGGCGAGGGCGCGTCTCTCCATGGTGGTGGTTTTGAATTTGGTAAGCCGGACGATGAGTTTGAGTGGGTTTGGTATTAAGGATGGCCCCCGGCCCTGGCTCGCAGTCGTCGCGGTGGAATTGAAGGGCGCAGGAGGACGGTGGTGAGGTGAAATCTCGCCGTTGCGGATCGGAAATCTGCTGGCACGTGACTCGCTGCTAATGACTCGCCGTAGCTTGCTCCGCTTGATCTTGAGTACTCGAGTAAATCAAGCGGGTTGGATCTCAGTGACCTTGCTGCTGTTCTGCTTAGCTGCAGGATATATAAAGAAATTACCCCTAATACTCTCAATATACCACCGAAACCATATATATATCCGCCACAAGCAAAATGTCCTCCATAACCATCGCAACCCTCCCCCGCATCAGCCGCGATGCCCTCTCAGCCCTCCTCCTCTCCACCTCCACCCCCAGCAAACTCGCCATCATCGATGTCCGTGACTCGGGTACGTCCCTTTCCTCCCCCCTTTAACCCATCCCATGTCTAATATAAACGGTATAGACCACGTAGGCGGCCACATCCACACCTCAACCTGGGTCCCCAGTTCCTCTCTCGACTACCGTCTCCCCGAACTCATCCGCACCCTACAAGACAAAGAGAAAGTGGTTTTTCACTGTGCGTTGAGCCAACAGCGCGGCCCGTCCGCCGCGCTGCGGTATGCTCGGGAGCGCGAGCGTATCTTGGGTCAGGAGGAGAGCAAGAAGCAAGAGGTGTTTGTTCTTGAGGGTGGATTCGTTCAGTGGCAGGAGAAGTATGGGAAGGATATCAGGTTGACGGAGGCGTATGTCGAGGATATTTGGAGGGAGTATTAGGTCCTTTTGGATGGGATGGATGGATGGTTTGGTGTTGGTGATACCCTTGTTTTTGCTGTTTGGTTTTCGGTGGATTTGGATAGATTTATAGGTGGGATACTAGGGGATGGGTTAGAGAGCTATAACTGTGGACTGGGTATACATGTCGGCACAGAATTAGAACTATAGATTACAGTTTGCTTATAGATGATGGTTTTGGTACACGGTCTATACTATACTATACATCGATCACTCCAGGTATCATATATCTGCCACAATCCCACCCCCAAAACCAATGGGACGACGCTTCCCATTATTTTCAGGAACAATGGCCATCACTTTATAAATCTTACCCATACCGCCGCCGCCCTTCTCCACCAGTCTCTTCCATCCGGTTTCCAGCGTCTTCCGCTTTTCCTCGTCCTGAACTCTCTTCAGCAGCTGCTGCATGCGCTCCTCAATGCCCATGGCCTGCAGGAAATCGCCCTGCTCGACTGGCCCATGTACTTCCACGCCCTCACTAGCCTCAATCGCCGCCTCCGCCAAACCCGTGAAATCGACATCCGCGCTGACATCCACCTGTCCCGGCGCCGAAAGCGGCGGCACGTTCTTGTGTTCCCGGATTCCGCGCAGGGAGTTAATCGGGATAGTCGAGAGGGTTCCGTAATCCATGATCAGAGCCGCACCAGAGGACACGCGCTTCGCGGGGGCCGGCGCAGCAGCTGCACCCTTCGTGACCGTCCGAGGCGGCTGCGATGCACCACCGATACGGCGCGCAAAGTCAGACGCGTAGATGCGACTCTCCGGGCTGACCTCGATGGTGGAGCCGGGCTGGGATTTGAGGGCGCGGTAGCGCGGAGAGATCTCCGGGATGACCAAGGACGAGGGAGTGGATGCTTTGGCGAGAGTGAGCTTGAACTCGGGCTCGCCTTCCTGGTTCTCTTCCACGGCTTTCGGGTTCAGGGTGACCATGAGCTCACGCCATTGTGGCGTGTTGGCTGGTTTCAAGGGCTGGTGGAGTTTGGCTGGCCCGGTAGGGGTCATGATTTCCTTCTGTTCGGCGGGTTGGTTCTCTGGAGAAGGGGGGATGGATTCGAAGGCGTGGATGGGGAGAGCGTCGAAGAATTCGTGGGCGAATATGAAGGGTGTCTTGTCCTCTTCTGTAGAGCTATCAGCGGGATTCATCACACCAGTGACGATTGCTCTCACCATGCGGTAACAGCCTAATATCCTCAACCCAAATGACCGGCACATCAAAGTACTTGCTCGTACTTCTGTGGCCAATATCCGTCTCCTCCATGACCGCATCCCCGCACAGCAACTTCTTCTGGACCTCCCTCAGCGTAGCACTCGCTTCAACCAGGTATATCGCCTCGATGCTCGACGTAAAGCTCTTGAAGTTCCGGAATGTCTACCCTTGTCAGCGACTCCCACCTCCAGAGCGTCAAGCCAACTCACGCGCAACATATCATCCATCAAGGTTCCCTTGCCCGGTCCAACCTCCATAAGCTGAACCCCGCTGCGCTTGCGTCCCTGCGCCATCCATTCCGCAATTGTCCAGATGCCCACCAGTTCTCCGAAGACCTGGGAGATCTCAGGCGAGGTGACGAAGTCGCCTTTCTTGCCGAATACTTCGCCGTCGCCTTCGGGTCGCGTCGTGTAATAGCCTCCTTCAGGGTTTGTGAGGACCTGGCGCATAAATGCGGCGATGGGGATGGGACCTGTTACCTTTCACTAGCGTTAGCTGGGCAAAATGATTTGGGGTTGGAATGGTATTACTTTGATCGCATTGGCGAGTGTTTGGGCTAGTGGTGTCGACCATTGTCTTGTTTCAAAGGTGGACGCAGAAGATGAAGGTGAAGACGAAGACCATCGTTGCGATTTCAGTAAGAGAGTCTGTTTGGGGCGTTTGCTGAGAAGCTGCCTCACGGCGCGCCTCGTGCCGTGGTTCATCTTGTACCGATTCGACCAATTGGGACCCCGAAGTGTCAATTAATCCTATGCAGGCCTGGTAGGAGGCTCCAACGAGACACCTCTCTGGTGGGTTGAGAGGTCAATGAGCGCAGCATTCCGATGGATCTCCAACTTCTCCGCAAAACTTCCGCACACGTGATTGTCTTATCATATCGGGCCCGATTATCTACACCCAGAGATACTCAAGATGCGATGCATTTCTTTCCTATCGTACAGGTCTTCTTCTATCCAGGAATATAACCACTCATTTCCTAATTGACCTTGTAAGCCCGAAAAGATTCAATCTCATCATCCTGCTTCAACTCATCAGCAGGCATGCATCTAATGGCCCATTTTCAGGCGGTGTAATGCAGTATAGCCCTGACGCGACCGTCAGTACCGCCGGCCCCGGTTTCCCTGGTTTGCTTGTGGTGCATCAACCATCATCTCATCGCTGTATAGGCCTGTCTCTTGAGCATCCTGGACCATGTTACTGCCGCCCCTCGCGCCGCCACGACCGCCCCGGTTGTTCCGTCTGCGATAGTTTCCCCTAAATTGCCCTTGGTCGGAAGTCTGGTTCTGGCTGCTGAATCCCCACCTCCCGTCCTGAACAGATGGGTCGGCTGAACGATGCAAGCGGCGATCGCGATCGGCTTGTTCCCGGAAGTCACTGAAGGAAGACTCGGGGGCCTGGAAGGTGGGCTTGGTAGGGCGCTCGAACAAATCTTGATTGGGATTCGCTGCAGGTTGCTTCAGGCGCAAGGAGAGGATCCGACCATCGGCCTTATTATTCATTAGATTCGGTCCGTGAACGCAGGAGTAGACAAACTCACCCTCTGGTTATGGAAGTTGGCAATGGCACTCTCGGCGGCTTGCTTTTCTGCAAATGTAATCTCCGCCGTAACAGCCGGATGTTGCGAAGTGATCCAGCAGCGTAATATCTTGCCCGAGACGGGTTCAAGCGCCGACTGGATATCGGCCGCAGTGGTTCCAGGCGCGAAGTTGCTCCCGACAACGACAAAAGGCCCTGATCCCACCCCCTTGATGGTCATCCCAACTCCATTCCGCACGTTGGCTTGCCCGCTTTCGGGATTGAGGGCAGAGAGTAGGCGGTTCTCGTCAGGACGGCGTCTATTCGTGGGTCTTGCGCCCGACCGGGGACCCTGTCGCGCGGGTGCTGAGCTCGGGGGATTCGCTTTCGAAGGGAGAGTGGCCGACACGGAGCGCTGAATTGGGGCTATACATCAGCCATGCATGCGACAAACCAGGCAATCACTGAGGTTGTTGTTCGTACCTTTGCCACACCTATCCGGCTCGCCAGGTTTCCCGGCTTCACATTCTGCGTCTTGCCTGCAGCTTTAGTGGCGGTGTTGGTTGTTCTCTTTTTGCCGAGGAGCTGGTTTGCAAGCTCCTCATTCCGTCTTTTCTTGCGATCTAAACCAGGGATATTAGTCCGAGTGCTGGGCGTTCATCTCGGAAGACGGAGATAATACCGGCTTGGATAATCGCATCAAACGAGACGGCTTCCTGACCGGCGGCCATCGCGATGGCGTTTAGAGTATGAGACGGAGTATGATAAAACAGAGAGAGTGGAGCGCTCAGTTCAATTGAGAGATCAATGCAGATGACGCGAGGCGCAGAATCGGCGAAGCTTGAACTGGAGGCGCGCAGGAGGAGCTGACCGAGCGGAAGGAATTCGAGCTCCGCGGTTGGCTCCGCTCCGTCATCCAGACAACCTTTGCCGGGTTTGCAATGGACTGCACTCCATTCACTGCCGGCTTTGGCACCCTCTGCATCGGTGAGTGGCCGTCGTAACAGGCCTCATGGATGGATCGAGTCTCTTTTTATTTCGTGTGAAGTCTCGGGTTTAAGCAGCCATGCCAGCGCGACTGGGATTTATATGCGGCAACCCCAGACCGGCAGTAACTCAACGATGGTCCGGAGGATTCATCGTTCACCAACGCCAAATATATTGCTTTTACTAACTTGGCAGACTTCAATAATCCCTATTCTTAGTACCCATTCTTCAGTTGCAGCGGGACAAGTCGGCTCCCATGTACCACCCGGGACAGCACCCACCGGTCAACGAGGAGCCCGGGGTGACAGCACCACGGGGTCCCTCCAGTTCTTACGATTATTTCTCCAGGTCTGCTCAGTAGTGCCCAAAGGACCAGAACGATGGCTGGTTGAAGATGGGAGATCTGTATAGTGCAATCCCAGGAATGCATCCCCCCTGGTCACGGTTGTTTGGCTTCCAGGCCCGGCCATGGAGTGTTAAGGTAGCTGCAATGCAGGTTATACAGGCAGGGAAAGAGCCACTTCAGCGTCGATGCTTGCCTCGTCCAACATTGCAAATGCACCCGGCACCGTGCTTCTTCCGGGGGTCGCCGGCGGATTGTTCTTTACCAGCTGGGTCCTGCCGACCAGTCCATCAGTCCGCAAGTATCCTTCTCTCAACCTTCGACTTGTGCCTTGGCTTCACGGAGTCAACTTAGGCACTGAACTAGTCTAGCTGCCATGGGTTCACAAAGCCAGGACAGTGGCCCGAACCGACGCCGTCAGTCGTTGTCACTCTCTCTGGCCATCCGTCCGTCTCTGACTCGGAGGAACAGGTAGACGCGCCCCTGACAATTTTCATTCACAGGCTAACAACCTACCCAAGAGATAGAAGGCTCTCTCCCCCGCCACCAAACTGTGAAGAAAGCGTTCATTATCCCGTCTTCAATCCACGAAACCCACGACACAACCCTTCCGTTGCGTCTTCGCCATGGCACCAGGATGACTACTATTTACCTGAACCGTCGAACTCTGCAAGGTCCATTCGCTGGATGCAAAGCTTGCCCAAGAGATCGCTCCGCAAAGTCCATTCAGGTCTTCTGTCTTTTAGGCCTGGGCATCGCAGACGGTCCATCCTCGCCCATCCAAGCCGCAGCGATGATATTCCCAGTCTTTGGTCGTCGACTGATTCTGCCAAGGACTCTTCGGACCAGCAGGGCACGCTCTACTCATCAACGGTGTCAGAAGCCAGCACGGAAGAAGACGTCGAGTTCGGCACCGACCTCCAGCGCATCAGCTGCAACTACGCGCCTGAGCCGGATGGTGACATGGACAGGTATCTACGGAGTCTACCTGCCTCGTTCGCATGGGAAGATGGCACACTCTCCTCAGGATCGACCATTGGGCCTAGCTGCAGATCCGAGGTCCTTACCCCAACGGTCTCTAAGACTCACTCGACTAGATCACCTAGTACCAGGACTGCGGAGATAGGAAGTCATGATACGGCGCCTAGGGATGGCATCTCAGGTGACAGCACCGGGAAGGAGATGAGTGCGCCTAGTGGAAACCCCCAGCCTATTGCATCGATCGCATCCCCCCGCAGCCCTAGCGAGTCGTACTTTTCGCGATCAACTGGTAGCGATGTAGAGGGTCTGTGCATCACCGCAGCAGTTCCTTCCAACGGTGGCGCCGCTAAGCCGCAGTTGCCCTCTGAGACCGTCGAGACTGACAGGGGTGCCTCGTCCGACTCTTGCAAATCCACCTGCAACATGCTGTCCGTGCCAATCATCGAAATAAACAGCTGCAGGCCTGTCATGACGAGCACGAGCCGGGATTCTTACGCGTCGGAAAGCCCTCTGATTCTCGATGCCGAGTTGGCTATGGAGTCTCTGGAGCTGTGTGAGCGGCTGGAATTGAATGAAGGCCACAGCGGAGATGATAGCGCGTCTCTTCCCGACAGTCTTGTGTATACACAAAGCCAATCACCAGAAGCAGTCCACTCGAGCAACATCCGGCTCGCAGAAGCACCGTTGCCTGACAACCAGGAATCGAATTACGGTGGCAACACGACGGACCACACTGCTGACATGCGCGATAATTCAGGGCCACAGGGGCGCTCTGCCCCCTGCAACAATTTCACAGAAAATAATCCCTTCACTACGGGCGGAGCAGACCATCCCAATGACCAAGATACCGATGAGGTTTCAGTATTGCAAAGCCAGTCGTCCCAGGACGATCTGGCGTCACTGCTAGCTTTGAGAGATGAGTATTTTCTAGTGGACAAATCCAACGATCTCCACCCGGATAGGGGCAACAACGCCACCAAAGCGGAGCGCAGCTTCAGCGGTGATGGATGCCTGTACAGTGGGCCAGGGCTCGACCGCAACTCGTCGACCAGAGTGCACGATATTCCCGAGATCATTGGTCCGCGGACGCCGGTCCAGGGACGCGCCACACGGTCGTTCCGAAGGGAGCGCGATACCAGCGATTCGGATGAGTACCTCGTGACGTATCCTGTGATCCAAAGGCATTACTTTCCGTAACCAATCGCAAATAGAGCTTATGGGGCCATTATGCCGTCCTTCTCTTTGCATGTTATCTAACTTGTGACGTTCCTTTCACCAACTGTTGTGGCTTGATGAATTGTATCTTAGTCATACCTCAGGGCACTTTGGATACCGAGCGGTTTCGTTCCAAAGGCCTGAATCAACGAGGGTTTCTATATGCACATTATATGGTAACACGGTCAACATTAGCCAAGACGTAAGGTAAATCCGGCGCCCTGTTCCCCGGTATCACCGCTGCTCTGGCCACCGAACACACTCGCAAAGTCCAGCTTGGGAGCCTCCTGTCCTCGCTTCGGCGCCTCAGGAGTCTCCCGGCGTCTCCGCTTCTCCATGCCCGCCTTGGATGGAAACGTCGGGAACATTTCCTTGGGCTTGGGACGAGGATCCTCCCGGAAGTAACGATGAGCGAGACACTCTTTCGTCGACAATCGCGTACTCGGATTCAGGGCCAGCAGCGATGACAACAGGTGCAGACCCGCATTCGTCAGGAAAGGGAACTTGGCCCTCGAAAGTAGAGGGGGGGTTCCCGTTGGTGCCGAGGACGTAGGCGGCAAACGCAGCGACTTGGCATTCGGCAGCGATCTGAACTCGGGCCAGGTCTGCTGCGTGGGGGGGCCCGTCAAAGCGAATATCTGGATTGATCAGTAACTTTAATAGTTTAGAGTACGAAGTAAAGGATGTCACATACCTTGGACACCTGATCCACCTCGTTCTTCCCCTGTAGTAAGGGCTCCTTGGTCAACAATTCTCCAAATATACATCCTATACTCCACATATCAATCTCGGTGCTGTATTTTTCTGCCCCTAGTAACAACTCCGGTGATCGGTACCAGAGCGTCACGACCAGCTGCGTCAACTTCGGTGGCGGGTCGCCGTAGTACCGGGCCATGCCGAAGTCGGCGATCTTGACTTCGCCGCGGTTGTTAAGGAGGAGGTTGGAGGTTTTGAGGTCGCGATGCATGATCCATTGGTCGTGGAGGAAGTCGAGACCGGAGAGGACTTGGAGAAGAATGGTTTTGATTTCGGAAGGGAGGAAGGGCTCGCTCATGTCGTCGAGGAGGGTCTTAAGGTCGTGTTCGAGAAAGTCCATTACTAGGTAGACTCTGGTGTTGTTAGTGGGGTGTAGAGGTGGGATAGGGTAGGAGGGGACGTACTCATCCATTTTCGTACCCATTACTACCTCTCGGAGGTAGACTATATTCTGATGTCGGGCTTCGAGGAGAGTTTGGATCTCGCGGAGACCGGTGACGGGGAATCCGTCGGGGGAGTTGTCCATCTTGAGTTTCTTGAGTGCGACCACTTCGCCGGTGTTTATGTCTTTGGCGCGGCTGACATAGCCGTAGGAGCCTTCTTCGATGTGGTTGAGGCGCTCGAAGTTGGCGATGTTGCGACAGGGTCCCCATTCTTGGGCTGGGAAGGATAGGATGTTGGGTTCATTGTTGGCGGTGGGTATTGGTTGGTCTTCGTTGTGGTCGTTGGAGAGTCGGCGACGCTTCTTAGGCGGGGCAGTTGTGTCTGGGTCTTGTGGTTGGGAGTCAGAAGCTGAAGCTTGAGCTTGTTGCTCGTCGAGCTGGCGCTGTTTCTCGGCTTTGGCGCGTCGCTGTTCTTCCTTCTCCCGCTTGCGCTGGGCGAGAATGGCTTCCGTTTCGGGGTCGTCGTCCGTGGCCCATCGGGATTTGGAGGACATGCTATGCGATTGATGAGGGGAGGCGGTGGGATTCGAGTCCGGCAAATGGCAATGGCTGATCGGGAGATGAATGCAAAGAGGTAGAGCTGGACGCGGAAGGGAGTCGGCGGTGATGATTGATTGGTCGGATGACGCTATCGGCACGGACAGAGTGACTAAGCCCGATCGGGTTGATTTCAAAGCGTCCCCGCTCGTCCCGCATGCAATCGAGGGGTCTTCAAAAGGCATCTTTCTATTCTTTGGTAACTTGGAACTCACATTGGAGATTGCAGTTGTAGATCTATACCGGCACGATGATTGAACCATTCCAGGTGGGTTAATCTCGGGTCGACGGTGCAACCCCGTGAGAAAGCTACTAACGGTTCAGACTACTTTCGCGGTCCCTATGACCTGCGAGGGCTGCGTCCAGGATATCTCCTCTCAACTGAAGAAGCTGGAGGGTATGCACTCCACCTCTGTGCCGTCATCGTACTGACCGGTCAGGCATCGACAAGGTCGAGGCAAACCTGAAGGACCAATTAGTGTTCATTGAAGGCACCGCGCCACCCAGCTCCATCGTCTCCGCTATCCAAGCTACGGGTCGGGATGCCATTCTACGAGGAAGCGGGACATCCAACAACAGTACGTCTACCACCTGCCTATACAGGCAGTGTCCCGAGCTGATGGATGACAGGTTCCGCGGTGTGCATCCTGGAAACCCACTCGAACACCGTCTCCAACAAGATCCGTGGTCTAGCGCGCATGGTCCAGGTGTCCCCCAACTTGACGCTGGTTGACCTGACGATCAACGGCCTGGCGCCCGGAAAGTATCATGCGACGGTGCGCGAAGCGGGTGATATCTCGCAAGGAGCGGCATCCACGGGAGGCATCTGGGAGGCCTTAAAAACCAAGGTGCTGGGCTCGGAGCCAACCAAGGAGCCCCGCGGCATTTTTGGGTCGGTTGAGGTGGACGACAAGGGCCGGGGCAATGTATTTTTGGATCGTCCGGTAGCGGTGTGGGAGATGATTGGACGCAGTATGGTGGTGTCAGCGAGCAGGGAGGGTCCTTTTCGACGAGAGGACCCTGACACTCTAGTTGGAGTGATTGCTCGTAGCGCGGGGGTGTGGGATAACGACAAGATGGTGTGCTCCTGCTCCGGGAAGAATGTGTGGCAGGAGCGGCAGGAGCAGGTGGCCCAGGGGATGGTGTGAAGATGTGGTTGGAGGACTAGACTGGCGTGTCTATGTATAGCAATGGTTTAGAGTGTGCATAGGAGAGGATACCCACGATCGATCGATCAGCCTTGCGATAAGCAATACGAGCAGCATGAATGACGCCGGCTCTTCTGCGGAGAATAAATAGAAACCGGGGGGGGGGTTGTAGTCCAGAAATAGAGACCGTCAGGGACATGACCGGTGATGGGTGAGGAACGAATGATAGCAACCCCAGACTCACCTGACCGACGAGCATGCAGGAGCGCTGCACGACAGAGCGACTAGTTGGCGACGGTCCTCGCAGCTAAAGATAGGCCATAACGGTCCGAGGGGTTGGGCGGGGGGGAGACGAGGGGAATTGCACCAACCGCGAGGGATATTCAAGGTTCAGAGGACTAGTCGGAGGTGGTCCCAGCCAGGACATCGGTACCGAAGGGGTTCGGCCTTTTGCGAAGCGCCGTGGCGGGGACGCTCAAAGTTAATCCAAGAGGATTGGGATGTGATGCACTGATGATTAGGGGGTTGTGTGATTGTGATCATTTTCGTGCTGGTATTGGCTTGCAAGGTCCTTTTTTCTTGAGCGGTACATACTTCTTACTATGCCCATTGTACACGGTAGGAAGTAAGTACTAAGTGGCAAGTTGGAGTAACCCCCGCCCCGCATGGCTCGGAACGGGCCTTGACCCATTCATCTCCTTCCCAAGATTCCACCACCTCCATTCTTCTTCACCTCCGTGGCTGGCACCGATTTTAATTTCGCCGTACGACCCGACTGTCAAACCAGGGACGTCAGGTAAGGTACGGCGCCACCGCAGGCCGTCAACTGGAAAAGAACTGGCGCGCAGGGCCAATCACAGGCTGTCGGATGGATCGACCCTGCACTGTGATAAAGTGCTCCCCCCTGCAGCGGCCAATCAGGGCGGCGCAGGCCCTGTGGTCATCCTGGGTGACGACCGGGATGCTGGCCACTCACCGGCCAGGAGACCACGGTGATGTTGCGTTTCCCCTCCGGCGTTACGATGAAGGATTGATGCCTCACCACCCATCGTTCCATGTGCGGTTGGGAGTTGGCACCCAAGAACGGACTGCTCCGTCCTCACCGCAGTTATTTTTATGTATCCCCCGGCCATGCCATATGCCAGGCCCATGCCCTTAGTACCAACACCCACGGCATCTCTCCGTCCCCTCGCCGTGCTTCTTTGACTTCTCCCCCTCCTTGGGCACTTCCTCACATCGGCTGCTAGCTCCCTGTCGCTGCATCTCTCTGCACGCTAATCCCAGTTCTTCCCTGTTTCTGCCTTTTGTGCATTTTCATGTGGATTTGGCTTCTTCCATCTTGATCCGTACCTCTTCTGCTGGAGACAGTTGTTCACCTCAATGCTGCATTCTTCGCATCGATATCAGTAACAAACATCCGTTTGGCTCCCCTCAATTCGCAATCTAACCACATTGGCCCCTCGCACCCCTCATCACCGTGATCACACCCAGCCAACGCCTCCTTGCGTCTTGGCTGGTGTTTGGTGCCTCTTAGCGGCTGGGTCGCTGGATCCGTGATCTAATTATATATCCGATCTCTCTCTCGACTAGACTCCGGGTAGTGCGCATGGTCTATCACTTCGATAGCGATTATCTCTCACTTCGCGGGCACACCGACTGCCAAGTGCCGACCCAAACCGGCTCACCCACGAGTGGACCTTTGCGGAATCGTGTCACATCCCTGCGCAGCGTGGCCAGGACCCAGCCATTGCGTCTTGGCGATTGCCAGTCGCGTACATATACGCTTGGTGGGTGTCCGCAGCGTCTCGCCGTCTGCATAGGGAACTAGGCTAGGCACTACGTGGCCGCACCGACATGTCATTGAAGCAGGTACTTATAGGCTGTCTCCGGTTAGGTCTGGGCTGTGCTAATGGTCTTAGGAAATCGAGACATGGGTACAGGCCCTCGAGCATTATGACAATCAGGAGTATGATGAAGCCCTTCGGGTCTTTGGTACGATTGCCGAGACATCCAAGATACTCTTCAACTGTGGGGTGATCTATGCGACGTTAGGGGAACATGAGAAAGCGGTATGATCCTCCATCGGGTTGTCGTACTCGACTAACAGCAGCAGGTCGAGTGCTACCAGCGGGCGATTGGCTTGGACCAATACCTTGCCATTGCATACTTCCAGGAGGGGGTCTCCAACTTCCTCTTGGGAGACTTTGAAGAGGCGTTGGCCAATTTCAATGACACGCTGCTCTATCTCCGGGGTAATACGTCCATTGACTATGAGCAGCTGGGGTTGAGATTCCGACTGTACTCGTGTGAAGTGTTGTTCAACCGTGGTTTGTGCTATATCTATCTCCAGCAAATGGGGCCAGGCATGCAGGATCTTGACTATGCGTCGAAAGAAAAGGTCACACCGGACCACGATGTCATCGACGAAGCCCTTCGAGAGCAGGCATCGGTAGGTCTTTCCCCAGATGAGATAGTGCTGGACTGACTGAACAGGGTTACACGGTCTTTTCCATCCCCGTGGGGGTGATCTATCGACCCAACGAGGCCAAAGTCAAGAACCTGAAGACCAAAGACTACCTGGGAAAGGCCCGGCTGATTGCTGCGTCCGAGCGGACCAGCATGCCGTTCGGGCCGAGCGACGACCTTAAGCGGACGCTGTCGATGCTGGACCACCGCAAGCCCGAGCATCTGCCGTTTGCCACGTCGCACCTGGTGCACAAGAACCTGCAGAGTCGGAGCCGTCAGCATTCGGAGCCGCCTCTGAACCGTAATCTCTTCCCTCCTACTCCCCCGCCGGACGCAGACAAGGCAAGTACCAACAGCTCCACAGGTAGTGTCACGATGAACAGTCGACCGGGGTCCATCCGGGCGGCGCGGCCGCCGCGGCTCGAACTGGCCGGTGCGGGCCAAAGCACAGATACCCTAGTCGACAAGCCGCGGATCGGCACGACGCGCACGGCGTCCGAGTCTCGAGCCATGCGACCGGGTCCCCGAGGGCCAGACGCACCGGGCCATCGACGGGGGGTGAGTGATACGGGGTTTGCCCCGGCCGGGCCCTCGGAGGAGGTCTACTCGGGCACGCGATCGATGCCGGCGGGGGCCAATTGGCGACGTCAGCAGGAACGGTACATCGACGAGCAAGAGGAGTACGCCAGCGATGCGGATGAGGATAATGGGCCGGATGGTGAGTTTGAGCTCGTAGGAACGCGGCAGCAGGGGTCCCCGAAGCGCAGTTCGCGACGGGGGACGTCACGACGGGTGGAAGTGCGCAAGTTCCGGGTGAAGGCGCACTCACACGAGGATACACGGTATATCATGATGGAGCCGACGATCGCGTTTGGGGAGTTTGAGACTCGAATTCGGGAGAAGTTTGGGTTCCGGACGCTGTTGAAGATCCGGATGCAGGATGATGGAGATATGATTACAATGGTAGACCAGGAGGATTTAGATTTGTTGATGGGAGGGTCACGAGAGGTGGCGCGCCGCGAGGGGAGTGAGATGGGGAAGATGGAGGTGAGTTTGATTCTTGTTTACGCCTGACCATACTAACGATTGTAGATATGGGTTGAGGAGCGAGGAGTGATTTAGCATGCATTGTTTAGCGTGGATACCCTGGATATGAGTTATGAACATATAGCATGTGATTATGTAACTATGCATCCAACGTAGTTAGTCTCCGCAGGACGGAGTACATGCCAACTCGACGTCAACCGCAGTCAGTTGCCGGTTCTCCGTACAAATAGCTCGACAATTGGTCTCAATCTACACCAGCTCAGGCGGTAGAACCTGAAACATCCACCGGAACTTTGTCAGAACCAATACATAAGACAAACTGTGTCAACATCAACAACACAGCACCACCACAGCACTCAACACCATGACCGACCTCACCCCCACGTTAACAGACCTGCTCCAGCAGAGCACCAGCACCCCAAAGCTCTCAACAGGATACATGACGACCGAAATCGCAGACGAATTCCTCAAAGAAGCCTACAGAATTGTACTCCCCCCAAACCCTCCCCCCAGATACCCACCCCACCCCTACCCCCCCAACTCACCTCCCTACTAACCAACGATAATAATACAAAAAAAAAACAGAACACCCACATAACCTCACTCCTCCAATACCTCCAAACCATCCGCCCCTCCTACCTCTCCCTCACCAAATCCAAACCCACCACCAAACCCCAACAGCAAAGTATCCAAGCCCAAGAAACCCTAACCGACTCCGCCCGCGACGAAATCACCGCCTCGACATCAACTCTCCTCTCCAACCTGAGTACCTCCATCTCGACCCTCTCGTCCGCGGAATCACTCCGCCAGGAGACTGTAACCCGGACGCTGGATCAGAGGTTCAAGAGGGGTTTACTAGCCAAGTGGGCCGGGGGGGCTGCGCTCACTTATGATGATGATGATGATGGGGAGGGGGGGAGAAGTGAGGAGGAAGTGCGCGAGCGGGAAAAAGAACGGAATATGAAGTGTGTGAGGGAAAGTGTGTTGTGGTATTTGGGGAGGAAGTTGAGGGAGGTGGTGGATGTGCAGAGGGATTTGGTGGAGAGGAGGGTCGAGAGGGTGAGGGAGAAGGAGAGGAGTGTGTTGTATAATTTACACGCTTCGGGGGCTGCTTCGGTGAAGGGGATGGGGGTGGGGATGGGGTGGGAGATGGGAGGTGTGGATGGAATGGATGGGATAGGGACGGCTGCGAAGATGGATGAGGAGGAGGTTCGTGCGATTGAGAGCCAACTCACTCCGCAGCAGTTGCAGCTCTTTGAGGAGGAGAATGAGAGTATGGTAAGGTATTTTGAGGATGTGGTAGGGAAGGTTCAGTATGTCCATCCAACCTTTTTCCCTCTCCCCTATTCATATCTTTGTGTTGCTTGGTATTGGTATGAGGCTAATATGTGGGTGATGTAGGAATGCGGAAAAATCCCTCCTCGAAATCTCCTCCCTCCAACAAACCCTCGTATCGCATCTCGCGACGCAAGAAGAATACATTGGACAATTGGTCACAGATGCCAGTAACACGCGGGGAAACATCGGGGAGGGCAATAAAGAGTTGAAACGCGCGACGGAGAGACGGAGTGCCGCGCAGGCGGTGTTCTGGGGCACCGTGGGATTGTGTACGTGGTTGGTGGTGTGGGATCTTGCTTTTTAATTTATCTTCATTGTTTATCTTGTGTTGATTTTATATGCGAAGGTTGTTTCCTTTGGGTTCAAGTCCAGTCTTTCTACTGGAGTATATAGCATGATACCAGTACACATTGCGTTGCATCGTCTATGAAGTCTCCCGCACGACACTATCCACTGCCTCGGCAAAGTAATCCAGGTTATGCGAGTTGAGCCCGGCCATTGAGATCCGGCCATTCTTAGTCTATCGTCCGTTAGCATACCCCGTCACCAACCACAATACGAAAGGAAGAAGCAACTCACCATATAAACATGCCACTTCTCCCTCAAAACCTTCACCTGAGGCTCCGTCAAGCCCGTAAAACTAAACATACCAATCTGCTCGGTAATATGTTCCCACTTCCCGGGCGTCCCCCTCTTCTCCAAGCGATCCCTCAACCCCTTCCTCATCTCCACAATCCGTCCACTCATAGTCTTCAAATCCTCCTCCCACTCAGCAAACAACCCCTCATCATTCAACACCCGACTGGCAATCCGGGCGCCATACGCTGGGGGATTCGAGATCTCACTTCTCTGCAGAATGGCCAATTGGGACGCCACATTCGCATTCGACGCAGTTGCTTCCGCACCGGGGGCCGACACGAAATGGAACGCGCCCGTGCGCTGACCGTACAGACCGAAGTTCTTGGCGAAGGATTGCGCAATGCAGAGTTCGAAGCCCTGCTCGATGAAGTACCGTACGGCCCAGGCGTCACGGGCGAGGTCGCCGGAGGCGAAGCCTTGGTAGGCGCAGTCGAAGAAGGGGAAGAGGGAGCGGGCGCGCATGATGGAGGCGACTTCTTTCCATTGGTCTTGGGTGAGGTCGACGCCGGTGGGGTTGTGGGCGCAGACGTGGAGGAGGATGATGGAGCCGGTGGGGGCGGAGGAGAGGGCGGAGGTCAGGCCGGGGAAATCGAGACCTTTGGTGCTGGGGTTGAAGTAGGGGTAGGTGGTTATGGGGAGGTTGACGTTGGTGAAAATTTGGTGGTGGTTGGCCCAGGTGGGGTTGGAGAGGTAGGTGGTGGGTTTGGGGGATGCGGGGTGGAATTTGGAGAGGAAGAGAGCGCCCAGGTGGACGGCGCCGGTGCCGGAGATGGTTTGGAAGGTGCAGACCTGTTGTTCGTTGTTAGATTTCAAGCAGAAAGATGAAGGGGAGGGGAATGAGGAATGGGCATGAGGGATGGAATGGGCTTACGCGGTTCTCGCGAATGGCGGAGCTGTCCGCCCCGATCATCAGTTTCTGCGCGGCGCTGGTGTAGTCGGCCAGACCTTTGATGGGGAGGTATTCATGGTTCAAGGCGGGGTCGTTGCGAACAAGCTCGTCGGCCTGATGTTATGCCGTGTTAGATGCGATGGAGCTGCGTGAATGTGGGGGGAGGGGGTGGGGGACCTTCTTGACAACGGGCAGAATCCACGGTTTGGCGTTGTCATCGCGGTACGCTCCAATGACCAGATCAACCTTCTTGTCGGACGGATCCTGACGATAGGCCGTGGCCAGACCGAAGAGGGGATCCTCTGGCGCGGCGGGCACAATGGCCGTGGAAAAGACGGACGGGCTGGCGGATCCCATGATGTGCGCGGACAAGGAAGCAAGACGGGAGGTGGCAGAGGATGCAAGAGAAGCAGAGATGGAGGAAGCAGCAGAAGCAGCAGACGACGAGGTAGAAGTAGGTGGAGAAAGGGGCGACATGATGGAGGTCACACCACCTCAGACTGCTGCTTGCGTTCACCGGAGGGGCTCAAGACCGAAACAGATAAATCCCGGATGGGCTGAGCGACTGGCGCCAGAACAAGTGCTGATTGCTGATTGCTGATTGCTGATGGATAGCTTCGGAGCACGGAGTACGGAGTACATGATACAGCAGCGGCGTCTGCGATCTATTTAATGGTCGTGGTGCTGCTCGGCGCATCCACTGCGAGCCGAGGAAGTGCTGGCCCGATGACCAGCCAGATGACGACATTCACATGAAGACTACGCAGTTCCTTCATTCTGCTCTCCATGCTGGGTTGAGGCTGTTTCAAGTCGACACTCCCCACAATCCCATCTAAGAGACTCATCCGGTCTGAATGCTGCTTCTAGCTTGACATCGTATGATAGGTGGGCAACCCAGCAGCTCCGAGCATGGACGGGCCAAGGCCCAGTCGGAGATGCAGAGACGGGACATATATCCCTCATTGGCAATGCAGATCGCCCGACTACATCCAGCGTAGTCCGGTATAACAGGCTTGTCTTATGAATTGCTGGTACATCATTAGTTCCTTTCCATGAGGCCTGGCCCGCCGCCAATCACGCGCCTCGGTTACTCATCGCCGATGCCAGCCGACCGCATGGACTGGAGCAATTGATTGGAGTCTTTCGTACGATGGATTGTCTAGATCCCTGATGAAGTGCTGCTTCCTGCATCTGGCACTGCTAGATAGATTGAGCGATCAGAGAAGCCGACACCCACAACATCCAAGTCCAAAGTGCAAGGCCACCTGGTCGATCTACCCCACGGGGTCCTCGGAATCTCGTGCGAAGCTCGCCGGAACCCGGAATCCGTTAGTCTTGCTGCTGCGAGTCATTCCGAGGTGGAGCCCGGCACGAGCTCGAGCAGTTTCAGTTTCAGGATCAGGATCAGATGCTTACGGTTGACACTTGCCGTGTCGATGCTCACCTTTTGAATATGCGAGATATGCTGGTCAGGGTCATTTCATGCACTAACATCCTATATACAATGTGCATTTTCGCATCAACGCCAAGCGCCCGATCAATCCCATCGTCAAATCTCATGTAAATCATAATCCCAAACAAGCAGGAGAGGAATGTCCACTCGGCCGGCGGCCAGCCCGGCCATGCATATATCGTCATATATACCCATCATCAATATAGCACATCATCCACGCCGTATGCACGTAGATTGAAAGAATATAGACAAGAACCAAAGGCAAATCCTCATGCCGGCGGGGCCTCGGACGACGACGCCTCGGTCTCGTCGCCGTGGGCCCGCGTGCGCACCCGGAACCGCTCGCGCAGTCGCGTCGTCAGTCGACTGCGGCGGCGGAGTCGCTCGTCCGACTCGTCGGTCGGTTCCTCCCGGTTGGCCTCCTCCCGGACGCTCCGCAGCGCCGCCAGTCGCTCCTCGACGCTGGCATCGCGCATGCGCCGCGCATTCAGCGTGCCGTGGAGGTAGTTGCTGAGGCGCCGGTGACGAGGATGACCACTCTCCGCACCTGGCTCTGCCGGGCCCTCTGGCGACGTCTCGGGGTGACCGTCGCCCAGGTCGTGCTCGTCTTCGCCTTCTCGCTGTGGGGGATTGAGGTCGATCCGGCTGCGTCGGTTAGTATGAACACGGAACAGGGAACAGGGAACAAGCAACACAGCAGGATCAGGGGACATACCAGAGAGGACAGGTGCCTGACACATTCACCAACCAGGGATCGATACACTCCGGATGGAATTGATGGTTGCACGGCAGCACGCGGAGATCCTGACCCTTGACGAAGTCGTCCGTGCAGATGGGACACGAGAAGTTGGGGTGGTCCGTCGTCGTCTCGGCCTCAGGGGCATCGGATCGTTTCTCCGCCATCGATTCCGTCGTGGGTTGGGATTCGGGTGGTGGCTGAGGGGAGGTGACAAACGCCTCCGCCGCCGTGGCGTCTCGGTTCTCTGTCACCTCGGTGGGCGGCGCCTCCACCCCCGCCCCCATCTCCACATCCCCCTTGGCGCCCTCCGGCTTGCCCTCGTGCGTGTCCCCGAATTTGACGATCGGGATCGTATCTAACATGGCGCGCGCTATCCCTCGCGCTCGACTTTGTCGCGGTCGTCCCGCCGTATACCGCGGCCCATATCGCTCCGGATGGCGGTGGGCGCGCACCGCACCGGTGATGATGATGGCGAGGAATAGCGCCGTGATAATCCCCGTGATACTGTACAGGATGATCATCGCTGGGGCGAGTTAGTCAATTCCCAGGGGCCCCCGGAAAAGAACATACCGGTATTCGGGCTATCGCCCGACCCGGACGACGTGTCCGAGGTCGACCCGGTGGGTCCGATGTACGACATGTTGGTGCCGATGGTAGTCGATCCGTTGCCTGGCGCACTGAGTTGGGTCTGGACTCGGCGATCCAGAGTCGGATTCAGCAGGGTGAAGACGTTGATGTAGCGATTGGCCGACGGTTCATCCGTGGTATAGTTGCAGAGCAGCGACGTCCCACTGTACAAGATCACGGCCACTGCCTGCTGCTGCGCGGTGAGAACGTTGCCCACAGTCGAACTCGCATCTAAATTCCCGGGATACGCAGATGGATCGCAGCTGATCACGGCGATCTCTTTACTGTTCAGTGACAGCGAGTTGGTGGCGTCCACATCCACCAGACTACCGGTCACCAGGTATGCCTATATCGATCAGCTTTCGGCAGACGGAGGCGCGAACCGGCTGACTAACCGCAAGTTCCGCCTGATTGAGATCGACCAAGTCCTGGGTCAAAGGAGCAAGTCGGACAGTTGCGGGCAATTGCACCTGGGTGCTGTTGAGCTGGAACCGGAGACCCCCAGTCCACGACAGATCCGCCGAGTTATTAGACGGCCGCACGGTCCAGCCGGCCGTGGTTACTGCAGAGGCGAGGGGCGAGAGGGCGAGCAGGAGGAAGACGGAGAGAAAGCGGAGGGTACAGGTGGCAGAGAGGAAGGAGAATAAGAAGAAGAAGAAGGAAGAGGAAGAGGGATGATGGGAACGGGGAGGACCCATCGGCGAATCGCCCAGTTGATGATGCTGGACGCCGGATGGACTTCCCCACAGTGACGAGGCCTACGGAGACGGCGGAGGGTATGGGGACGGACGAAGATCATGAGCCACGGACGAGGGATCGGCCTAGGATCAGGAAACCAGCCGGTTCAGACGCCCAGAGGCAGCGAACAGGCACCCAGCTGCCAGTCAGCGTGGGAGAGTGATATCACTTCCGGTGCAGGACCGGGCGATCCCCGGCGACTACCACAGGACTGGAGCGACCGTGGATAACAAAGGCTGTCTCGTCACAGGCACGGCGGACGGCGATTGGAAGTCCGGGAAGGTGTGGAAGCCGGGACAATGGGTGATGGAAGAAGATGAGGCGGGAATGGGGTGGGTGGGAAGGTGGATCGGATCGGATGCTCACTTCCTCAGCAACAACCTGGCTGCAATGGGAATAGCAGCGGCTGGCACTGGCTGGCAATTGGGGGCTGGAGGGCGGATGGCTGGCAGTCGATGCTGCCGGGCGATCCGGCAAGGAAAGCGACGGATGAGATAACAATAATGCCACTGCCAACTGTCACGGAGGTCGGGCGGGTTACTATTCTTATTACACAAGGTGTTGGTATCGTTGGTGGTGAGAAATCCGTCCAGCAATGCCTCAATCAACCAAGGAGGGAGGAAGCAGGCGAATACGAGACCATCGAGCAGTGAGCCGGACAGCAGCAGGAGCAGCAGCAGCAGCAGCAGCAGCGAAAGTCCCATGGATCGCCCGAGCGATGCCGGTGGGGGGATGGATTATTCATCGCAGCGCCTCGGTCTGATTGCGTGCAGATACGCCGGACCGTGGACGGGGCGACGATGCTTGCGGGTTGAATTCTGAATGATTCAGAGACCGGGAAAAAGTGGGACGGCCAGCAGTGCCCGCCAGGCTGACAGGATCAGATAGCAGGATATCAGCGTGTCCAGATACACGATAAGCCCCCGTGGCATCTTCGATCCATCTGGCGTGTGTGATAAGCTTCATCTGGTCCGATCCTGCTGCTCGGCCTGTCTACATTTTTGGGGTGGATTTGAATCCAATGGCAATGCAAATCAGCCCTGGGCAGCAAGTGACGAGGTGCAACTGGGCCGAGTGCGGGGGATCCTGGGCATCCGCCGATCGTGGGTTGGTCCCAATTTTCGGTTTCTGGCACAGCACAAAAGATGACCGACCGACCGCCAGGCTACTTATCGACAATAACCAACAATCACAGAATCAGGCCTGAATCGCAGTGCCAGAAGAGGCAGCTAGACTCCAGCCGGCATTGCATCATCCATTGAACCTTGTTGGCATCCTGACTGCCCTTTTCCCCATTCTGACTGTCTATCCCACCGCGCTATAAAGACGGGCAGCTGGGAAGGATGCTTCCTGTCTGGCTGCTGAGTCGCCGCATGGGCCTCGCGGGATGCAAATTGATTGCTTTTTCTCTCACATCCCGTATTCTCCAACGTGGTTTCCCCGTCCTCCAGCTGAGCAATACGACAACGACGAGAACCGACGAGAAGAACACAGGGTAAGTCGGTCGAGCTGACTAACCGTGCGCCCGGATTTGTTGCCGTGCGGCCCCAAAGCGGAAGGTCGACGAGTGTTCATTCAGTTTCCATCGCCGGTGATTCTCCGCCTTCATGTGGGGAAAATAGAGCAGGGCGTAGATTGCTCCATCGGACTCCGATGCCGGAGTTTCTGCTTATCATGTCCGTGTCCGACGGTCTGGGATGCAGACGGTCAGTGGAAGATCACAGATCCGGAGCATGCCAGGATGGATGGATGGATGGATGGATACTGGCCATAGCCATGATCTGCATAAAAGGCAACACAAATTTTATTCATCCTCATGCAGGGATTACCTCTTTGAGGGCTAGGGTTAGGGCCCAGCCAGTCACCCGCGCCCGCCCGAATAAGCTATGGATTAGGCCGATCGGGGATCGTCCAACACGCCAGGCGCAACGACAACAACATTCCTCCGACCGGTATATACCACTCGCTCCCTCTGGCGGTAGGGTTTCCCTCTGCAGTACCGGCCATGTTCTAGCCCGTTCATCGCCGTGGGGGTTGCTACTACTGCCGTGTGACAGGTGTCACCTCGACACCAGTCTCCCCAGGCGACTAAGCTTTAGCATCCTGGGGGAATATTGACAATGTGGCTCGCTGGAGGATCGGCGTGGCGACGTAGCTGGATCAAGTGGATTGTTTAGCAGGGTCGATGTGACCTGACCTGTCATTTGCATTCCCCCCTCCCTACGGTCGCGTGTTGATCGTGCCGCTTTAGGTGTAGACGCGCTCATCCTGGCCCATCCAGGCTGAACAAAGCACAATCATAATGCAATTCAGATCTTAAGGGAGCATCCGAAGATCTTCCTCGGGGTTCCTTCGGGCCCCAAGCTACTGACCTCCATTCATCCATCCACGGGAGGACCACCCGCCCTGTCCCCCAGCGACCACCCTGCATGCGAGCGTAACTGACAGGTCTGAGATACTCAGGGGAAGGTTCCAATCAGATGGGGCTAGCTGAAGGTCCGATCGGTCGTGCCGCATCATCCAGAGGCGCTGTACCACCCTACGATCCATCACCGCCACCCTTTGGTTGGGTGGGGGGCGGGTGGTACTGAGGACTTGGGCGATGATATGCGAGGAGGCACCGTAGCACCCTGCACAAAGGTGGCCCTTCCCCCCCAGGCGAAGGGCCAAATTCCACATCCCCCGCCACGAGCCCTCTATATGGCAACGGTATTATTAGGGGCTCGCGGCGAGGATTATTCCCCAGTGCTACTGAAGCGCCTGCCATAACGGCGACTGGGCCGTTCCACCACTCAGCAGGGAGTCCAGGGACCCTCTGGCGACAACCGACCAAGGCCGCCATGCCCCAGGCGACGAAGGCGTTCTGCACCGATGGCCATTGGCGGGTGGATCGGGTCGAGACCTGTCCGTGGGCCCGTGACAGCAACACTTGGTCCGTGTCCTTCCTCCTATCCATCCGACCTCTCCTGCCTGCTTCCTCTCCTCCCTGGACTGTGGACCGACTCATATCCGGTGGATAAGGATGGGCCCTACCGGGATGGGCCAATTTCCGCCGACACCATCACCAGCAAACAGCTCCGTCGGTATCTACGGCACGGGAAACACTATCTGCCTAGGTACATAGGCGCGATCCGAGTTGCTGGGAGGGTGTTCCTGTCGACGGAACGTGCTGCCACCAATCTCCGTTGGGGCTGCGGCATCCGTCATGGAGGGAGGGGCCATGCTGGGCCATGTTGGATGGATGGAGGGGCCACGTACATCAGGTACCGCGAAGTCTGCCCGGCATGACAGGCTCGTATCTCTTGGAGAGCCATGCGGATGGCCTGGGCACAGGCGGTGATTGGCAGGGAAGCTTGGGTGTTGCCTCATCCGACCCTCGGATGGAGGGTGGGATGATGGTTGAGGGACAAAGCGAGGATCTGAGCAAGTAGCAGATCGGCTTTGTTCATTGGGAATTGAAGGATGTCGCCATGGCTGGTGACCGTGTCAGATGGGGGGATTTTCTGGAACGATTGCTGGTATGACGATGGGCGATGGATGGTGGGCCCGGGGTATGTTGGTGGGTGGGAGACGGACTGGTAAGTGAAGAACAGAACACCGAAAGGGAAAATAGGAGACCAACAAGATTGGCGGTGGGCAGGGCGAGAGGGAAAAATAAAATAAAATCAAACCGATGAACAGACAGCGGTTCCATTAATTAATTTTTTTACAATTATTTTTAATATCGGCCTAGGGGAATTAATAGGGTCAATTAACCTGGCAAGGGAGGGGGGGCAATGTTTGCTCATGATCAGTCAACCGATCGGACGGCGAGTCCAAGCTTATGCCTATGGCCTTCAGCGGCCATAAAACCTCCGCTATACCCACCGGAGTCAGTGGTCGATGGTACTTACTTACGTAGGAAAAGGAAGGGCAGCTCCGGGCCTTAGCTGCGGATAATCCTACCCTGGCAGCTCCACCCCCAGTGACTGGGATCTGAGAGAGGGAGGAAGAACAGTGTAAAGGGAAAAGGGAAAAAGGAAAAAGGCCAGTCAGGCCGGACCAAAATTAGCCAGGCCAGGGCGGCGAGGGTCTGGAAGAATTATCCCGCGTCGCATCCCCGCTTCCATTCGAGGCCTCGACCGCTTGGGGCCCGGGGCGACCCGGCCCCTCATTGGTCGGTGCGGGCCAGGGAGGCGCGCCCGCTTCCCTGCTGAGCTGCTGCGCTGCTGAGGGAGGGGGCAATTCTGGGCACTGTTCAGAGTCCCAGTCGGACCAGCCCAGGCCGAGGCTCCCATCGAACTGAAGAGTCGTATGGATCGGGGAACCCGGTCAGATGCTCACTGGTGCTGCTGCTGCTGCTGCTGCTGCTGCTGTTGTTGCGTCGGGGAGGGTTGAATAATACTACTCAGATAGGAGTAGTACTACCACCCTACGACCTCCGACGACATCCTACTACAGGATCGGGCCTGTTATAAGCAGGGAAACTACTCGACCTCTCTCCCGATCGAGCTAGACAGAAGCTTAAAGGGATTGATATTTCCGGTGTCCAGGTATGAATTTCAAATCCTTTGAAATTCTAAATGCGAGGATTTGCTGATAAAATAAAATCAAAATCTCCCCAGCTCGGCCGGCAGCCTGACTTTCCTTCCCATCCTCCGCTGAGTGGGAAAAAGGATAAAATAATAGTAAAAATAAGAATCTGAATTTTTTTTTGCTAAAAAGTATTAATGTTCATGGGAGAATTAAAAAAAAAAGAGACAGGGAAGAGCAGAGAAGTTCCGTTCTGTCTGCACTGACTGGGTGGGTTGTCGTCGTAGTACTTTTTTTGCCCTTTTTCCTCTGGGGATGTTTTTCTCAGTGTCCACCCCCCCCTCTCTTTCTCCTTCTCCAGTCTCCAGTCTGTCTGTCTCTCTCTCGGATTCTCTCACTCTCTCACTCTTTCTTCTCTTGTTCCTTCTCATCCTTTCTTCCCCTTCTTCTCTTCCAACCCCAGACCTATCGTTTCCCCCCTTTTCCCGAGCGGGACCACCCGCCAATTCCAAAGCGATCAAGATGTGCTCCACGAGGCTTTAATCGATCAAACAAACAAACCCACGCCAGGAGACTTGAGGCCCCGACGAGGCGACCAGGAACCAACCCACCGCCCCCCATTCTCCCCCCCCCAGCTGGTCCACCTTCAACAACAACACCTCCTCTTTCATTATTCACCCCCGGCCATAGATCCAATTTCAATCCCCATTCCCATTCCCACTCCCACTCCCAATTCCACTCCCCCATCTTGATCCCCATCTATCCCAAGTTCAACCTTCACCTCCACCTCCACCTCCACCACAGCATTACATCTACAATTCTCTGCCACTCCACCCACACCTGCAACATCCACTTCAACCTTGGTCTTGCCCCCTCGCGCTAGATGGTCGATCCGAAACTGCCATAGCCCTCCCTTCTCTCCCTCGCCGCCGTCCGCCCCTGACATGCCCCCGTCGGCCCAGTCGACGAGACCGCGCTCGCCCTGCCTTGCCGTCCGTTAGCAGCAGCCCCGGCGTGCCCGGCACCATGTCCCCTCAATCCGTCGCCATTCCGGCCGGCCCTTTACTGGCCGAAATCCCCAATTTGTGGAAAAAGCGATTCGACAAGAGACATCTGTCCACGTACGTCTTGACTCCCTTACTTTCTCTCTCGTCCCTTAGAGTTTGCTGTGCGGTGTGTCTATCGCCGTTTGACTTTCCCCTCAACCTTGTCCCTCGGATGATCTACACCGTCTCCATGAGGACATAGTCCGTGCTTTAATACGGTTTCGGAATAGCCAGAGCACGGAGCCGACACGAACTGACCATCCGACAGCAACCCGGTGATCGCCACTCTCGATATCGAATACAATGAGCTGGTGCAGTCATGGAAACGGTTCCAGGATTACCTCCCGCCAGACGATCTCGTCCGCTTCCACGAACGCCTACAGGGTCCCGAGGATGTTTTGGAGGTCGTCAGCAACATCGAGCCGGTTTGGACGTCCACGTCGGAACTGCGAGTGCTGCGGGAATGCTGTGACGAGTTTCGATCCACGTTGAGCTTACATGGGGGGTTACTGACCGCCCTTCCGAAAAACGAATTGTACGGCTCCATCTTTTACAGCGTCCTGCAGTCTTTGCTCAAGGTAAGCGGATCCCTCGTGACTCGCTGTTCAGTGATGACTGACTCGTTCTAGGCATCCGCCGGCTACCCGAGAATCATGGAAGGCTTGGTGAAGGCACTGGTTCAGATCAACCGGTCCATTGGTCCCCCAGCAATGGGTGACACACTACCGCTTTCGAAAGACTCGGTCAACGCCATTGCACGTTTCTATACGCTTCTGTTTTTCTTCCTGGGCGAGCTGATGGACTGGTATGTGCGCAAGTCCATCTGTCGGCTGCTCCAGAGCCCCAAGCACGACCTCTACCGCGATTTTCAAAGCCTCGTGTGCCATATCCGACGCAGCGCAAGAGACATGATGTATAGCCTGACTGATGCCATGGACCTGGACGACAGCTACTGTGATCGGCTGTGTGACTTGAACGGTGATTTCTATCTTCAAAACTACGAGCAGGCCCGATTAAGCCAAGTGGGTCTTCAGAAAATGGACCGTCGGTTAGCGGCCCAGAATGCCCTGACCCGTCAGTTGCTCTGGGAGATCCATCAGGATGCGGCGGAGCGCAAGCGATTGCTCAAGGAACGAGACCTGCTCCTGACGCAGCTGTTGGGCACTGTCAGTCTCCAGCTACAGTCCGTGAGCAAGCAAAACAGCGGGATTGCCTGTTTGACCACCACCGCTTCACAGGACTTAGGTAGGGAAGCCAGGTTCACGTGGCCCGAACTGCTTGAGGAGCTGACCGTGCACGCATTACAAGACACAGACAGGTTCAACCTGATTGGAGAGGGGCACAAGCACAAGTACACCCGCATGGAGCTGCAGTTGGCGTCTCGACATCTCGAAGACTTTTTTGACTCGGCTGACCAAAACCCCGACCTCGACCCCGATGTGCCGGTCATTGCCGAAGAGAATGTCATGACCTCGTTGAACCAATGGGCGACGGATGCACACTCGCAAGTACTCGCCGTGGGGGGTCCCGCATCGACGGTCTACCCCAGCCCGGTGCTTCTTGTCTCGACCTGCTACGCCAACGTTGCACGAAAAGCTCGGCTGCCCATCATCTCTCACTTCTGCAACCGCACCGATGGAGGGACCGAGCTGACATTCGAACAACACCTCATCGCCCTGGCGTACAGTTTGATTCGGCAGTTGATCGAATACCTGCCTCCGGTCGTCGAAAGCCATGCTGGGTGCAACCTGAGCGCGGAGCGATTCAAACCGCTCAACGGCACGCTCACATCATGGAAAGAGGTGCTCTCACTGATTGATATACTGCTTCATTTTGCCCCGCCGCTGTTGGTGTGCGTGATCCACGGGCTGGATATCATCCAGGACGCGTCGACAGATCAGCAGATCCGCTCGTTGGTCCGAATCCTCCTGATGCACACACGCCACCAGACGGTCTTGACGCCGACCGGGGGGCAGAGCCAGAGTGTGCTGCTGAAGATCCTGTTCACCGTGGCGGGACGACCGAGCTCGCTGGTGGAGACCCTGTCGGAGAACGAGCTGATTCTACGGGAGTCAAACGAGACGGAGACGGAGCTGGCGGCGACCGAGCCGGCGCTAAACCCCGACCTGGGGGCCGTGATGATGAATGCATAAGAGCGCGCATTTCGAAGCGAAGCGGTGCAGCATTTTGCTTTTAGTTTGTTTTTCGGGTGAAAATTCGGGTCATGATAGAATTGAGCGCAGGCTGGGATCTTTGAATATAACATGGTTGGCCAGTGACGGCGGGCGAGCCGTGCGGTGTGTTTCGTAACTCTTCTCTTTGTTTTTCTCTGTTGTTGGGGGGTGCATGCTTTCTGGGGTACATCTCGGGACCGTGGAGTAAACGTGGACGGTTGGGGTGGCAGCATCAGTGTACATGTGTAATACTAGCATGACGCGGCGGCGCGGGATGGACAATGCATATACAGGTCCGTGTCGAGCGCTGCATCAGAATGGATACCCTCTGGCTTGTGTGACGCTGTATTCTGTCTTCTTCTTGGCCCTCGGGATTCATTTCCCGAGGTGGAGTTCCCAGCATCTTTTCCCCGGATTTGACTGCTCCACCTCCCTCCATCTCTCGATCTGGGTGGTGCTGCTAACCCGAAATCCGCACGAGCAGACGGGATTACACCTCCGGGCAAAGCATTTCTACAGACTTGTTCCCAGTCAATTCCTCACCGACAGCACATCACATCATATACTACCGCGACCATGGGCTCCCACGCATTCCAGTCAGTCGTACAGAACCGGCTTTTTCACCTCGACTCCATCAATGTCGAGGACTTCAAGCACGTCTGCTCGCAGACCACCGATCCCGCCAGCTACCCGCTGGCTGCCACCGTGGAGAAGAACATTCCCATCTACGATGCCACCCGCTTCGACCCCCTGAACGCGGCGACCACCCCGGCCCTCCAATCCGAATGGCACCACATTCTGGAATCCGGGCCGGGCATCTTCGTGTTGAAAGGCATGTACCACCCGTCTCGATACGGCGATACGCTGGCCGCCACCAACACCGCCTTTCAACACATCATCGACAAAGAACGGCAATCCCCCCTCGGTCCCAAAGGCGACCACTTCGCAGCGAGCGGCAAAAACGACCGCATCTGGAACTCGTTCAGCAAACACGCGTTCGTCGACCCCTCCTCCTTCATCCACTACTACAGCAACCCATGGCTCCGCACCGTCAGCGAAAGCTGGCTGGGCCCGGCCTACCGCGTCACCGCCCAAGTCAACATCGTCAAGCCGGGCGGCGCCGCCCAGGAGAGCCACCGCGACTACCACCTGGGTTTCCAGGAGCTGGACCGCTGCGCGGCCTTCCCGCGGAGCGTCCAGCTAGCCAGTCAGTATCTGACGCTGCAGGGGGCGGTGGCGCACAGTGACATGCCGGTGGAGAGTGGACCGACGCGGTTCCTCCCGTTCAGCCAGACATATGCGCCGGGGTATCTGGCGTGGCGGCGGGAGGAGTTCCGGGCGTTTTTCAAGGAACGGTATGTGGCGCTGCCGTTGACGTTGGGGGATGGGGTGTTTTTTAATCCGGCGGTGTTTCATGCGGCGGGGGCGAATGGGATGGAGGAGCGGACGGGGTTTCAGCGGAAGGCGAATCTGTTGCAGATTGGGTGTGCATTGGGGAAGACGATGGAGCATGTTGATGCCGTGCCGGTGGTGGAGAAGTGCTGGGAGGAGGTGCGTGAGATTTATCGGAGGGATGGGCTGAGTGCGGAGGTGGAGGCGTGGGTGGGCGCCGTGGCGGATGGATATCCCTTTCCTTCGAATTTGGATCGGAGACCCCCGGCCCCGAGTGGGATGGCGCCGGAGAGTGAGCAGGAGATGGTGCTTCGGGGGTTACGGGAGGGTTGGGGGAGAGAGAGGATTGGGGAGGAGTTGCGGGGGTTGCAGCGGGAGAGCAGAGGACATCAGGAGGTGTAACCATCCTAACAGGATACAGTAGCTGATCATGGTATTTATTCTCGAGCTATAGCTTACTATGTCAGGTTCAATACGATGGCCAACTAAGTCTTATCTGAGCAAGCCCAGTGGTGTTCACCCATGGCATCCCTACAATGCCTGTCATGGCACTCCGATAACCCTGAGCATGACCGGTAACAGTTTTCTGTCACACCAGTCTATTATAACCTAATAGTGTGAAGCAAATTGATCACTGCTCATCCCTGCCGCACCCCCGTCATCATTCTATATTGTAGGGTTAACCCACCCGGCCGAGGTCATCATCTTTACGTTGAGTGATCTTGACATGTATCAACCACACCTCTGCAAACCACAAAGTATGGGACACAGCGACCCCTGTCTCCTCGAAATTGAGATTGCCCGACCCCGCCCTCTGAGATCCACGCTGGCCAGTCGTGGGAGGGATCGTCAGGGCCAGCCCCGAGACTAGTAAATCTCCTAGGGCTTCCTAGTCATCTTAGCGGGAGGAAGCTCCACTCCGCTGCTTTTCATGCTCCTTTCGACTCGCCACTCTGGACTTGGCCATTATAATGTCTATCCTGGGCTAGTCTGAGGAACTAGCTGAGGATACGAGATACTGCTCGATCTTCATCAGAGAGACTCCTCACAGCTGAGTTGTCACTTGTTGACTGTGAACTCAGGACAATGGCCCATGATGATCGTGGTTCATATCAGCGTCAAAAGATTCTGTAGCTGACAGTGTCTTTACTCCATACTGGCTTGTCTGCAGACCAGGTCCAAGTGTGGCATTCGGAAATGGATTCCACCCTCGCGACCCACCGCCGATCTAAGCAAGGAACTGAACCTAATCTGCCTCGGCTTCCGCTGGCGTATAAAGCCACGGGGCTACCCAGGATGGTCTCCCCCGTGCTATCGCCATCATGCTGTTCGCCCGGCTCCTCCTCTTGGCCACGGGGGCCCTCAGTGCCGCCGTCAACCTCACCGGGTATGAGTACATCGTCGTTGGCTCGGGGGCTGGCGGCGGGCCTCTAGCAGCCCGACTGGCCCTGGCCGGCCACAAGACGCTTCTGTTGGAGTCAGGAGATGATCAAGGGCTGAACCCGAATTACTCGGTGCCCGCGTATTCGGCTCGCGCCTCGGAAGACGAGCAGATGGCGTGGAACTTTTTCGTGCGTCACTACGCCGATGATGCTCGACAAGCCCTCGACTACAAAACCACGTATACCACCCCCGAGGGGGAGGAATACACCGGGCTGAACCCTCCCCCGGGGTCAACCATGAAGGGAGTTCTGTACCCTCGCACCAACACCTTGGGCGGCTGCACCGCCCATAATGCCCTCATCGCCGTGTATCCGGATCGTTCGGACTTTGAATACATCGCCAACCTCACCGGCGATGATTCCTGGGCCCCGGACAACATGCGCCAGTACTTTGCCAAGCTGGAAAACAACCACTACCTCCTCCCCGGGGCCCCTGGCCATGGCTACGACGGCTGGCTATCCACCGAATATGCCCCCATCAACCTCGTCCTCCAAGATCCCCAATTCCTCTCGCTAGTCCTAGGCGGTGCCTTTGCCCTAGGCAACCACACCAACACCCTCATCAACCTGGCCACACTCCTCGCCGGCGACGCCAACGCCGACAGTGCCACCCGCGACTCGCAGCCGGGCTACTATCAAATCCCCATCTCGACCTCCTCTGCCCGGCGCAACGGGGCGCGCGAATTCGTCCTGGCCGTCCACGCAGCCACCAACCCCGACGGCACGCCCACCTACCCCCTCACCATCCGCACCAACTGCCACGCCACGCGCGTACTCTTCGACAACACCACCTCCCCGCCCCTCGCCACCGGCGTAGCCTTCCTCGACGGCGCCCACCTCTACCACGCCAGCCCCCTCTCCTCCCCTTCCCGCCGCGGCACCCCCGGCACCGCCACCGCCAGCCGCGAAGTCATCCTCTCCGGCGGCGTATACAACTCCCCCCAACTGCTCAAACTCAGCGGCATCGGCCCGGCCGCCGAACTAACCACCCACGACATCCCCGTCCTCATCGACCTCCCCGGCGTCGGCACCAACCTCCAAGACCACTACGAGATCAACGTCCAAGGCCACACGCCATCCAATTTCTCCGTCCTCACCGACTGCACCTTCACCGATACCGCCGACCCATGCCTCACCCGCTGGGAACATCCTTCCCTCCTCACCCACGACCGCGGCGTCTACGCCTCCCCGGGCTTCGCCACCACCATGTTCTATCAAAGCACCGCTAGTGCGGATACTAACTACGATGTGTTTCTCTTCGGCGCGCCGATAAACTTTCGTGGTTACTTTCCGGGATATAGCGTGAATGTCACGGACCGACATGACTGGTTTACGTGGGCCATTCTCAAATCGCATCCCCGGAATCGGGCAGGCACCGTGACGCTCCGCTCGAATGATCCGCTTGATGTCCCGGATATTCTCTTTAATTACTTCGACACGGGATCCGATGGATATGATCAAGACCTGCAGGCGATGTACGAAGCGGTGAACCTCGCACGGGACGCGTTGGCGCGACAGGCCGTGCCGATCGAGGAAGTCCTGCCCGGTGCGGAGGTTACGGACCAAGAGGGCATCATGAAATATGCCCAAGACACGGCGTGGGGGCATCATGCGTCGTGTACGTGTCCGATTGGGGCGGATGATGATCCCATGGCGGTGTTGGATTCGAAGTTTCGGGTGCGTGGGGTGAAGGGGTTACGGGTGGTGGATGCGTCGGTGTATCCCCGGATTCCGGGGACGTTTACGGCGGTGTCGACGTATATGGTTGCGGAGAAGGCGGCGGGGGATATTCTAGATGACATCGATGTATAATAACTAGTCTTGAGCTATCTTGGATTGATTTGATTCTTAGATGTCGATGGATGCTCCGCCGTCATGGACGGAAAAATGACACCATATACACAAACCATTAATATTATCATTTTACCGATTGTTTTTTCCTCTTTCAAGGATCCCCCTCACCAGGCATAGGATCAATACCAGCCCATTTTCTTTGCCCTTGATGACGTTTATTCATCAAGACTGTTATCCCTTTTACTACCACCACAATACAACCCCACAATACAACCCCACATCACATCATCATTGCTATTATTTGCACCAAGTAGAGTATTCTCATCAGCAACTAATCGCTTAGACAGCGAGATCTCTCTTAACAGCAACCCACAGATCCTTATACCAGTAAAGATTCAAGACCTCTCATCTCAAATCATCGCATTCGTCCTCTGTCTTTCCTTCCCTTTTCCTTCATTATTTATCTTCCATCTTCGCTCTTTTGAACTCTGTATGTAAATATTTAGAGGGTAGTTCAGACTCATCGACTCTCTCACTCGTATATTTGGTACCTTCCCCGTATACTTTCATAGTAATATGCAATATGAACGAACCATCGGGCTTGCCAAAGACAGGCCTGTATATTCCCTGCTTCCGAAACACCGTGATAGTCCGCGCCGTGGAGGATCTCTGTGATGGTTGTTGTGATAGGATATCAACAACACGACTGATTCAAGTTTGTGTTGTGCGGTCTGCTGAGTGTACTGTAGATGATATGCCATCTCTCTTTTTGTCTTTTATCTTTTGTCTTTCATCTTTCGTCTTCCGTCTTGAGTGAATGAAGGAATCAATTTCTTCATTGGTTCATCAGGGAAGAAGAAGAAGAGGAAGAGAAGAGGCTGTCCAGCGGGGAGAAAGTATGCCATGTGACTGAACCCCCATGTAAAAAGGATAGAAGCGGAGCGGAGTGGAGCGGGGTAGGAAAGAAAAGGAAAGGACAGGATAAGTGATAGTAACATTCCCCTTTCCTTTGCCTTTGCCTTTCCATCCCTTCTGGCCACAGTATACTTTATTTGTGAGCTGAATCGACGGTTTGTTATATAGAAATCATGAGAATGGCGATGGTGATGATGTTGGTATATAGTATACCATGTTCAGCGACGGTAGTAGAGTTGGTATATATCATGTAAAGTATACATGTGGATGAAGACTATTTGTTGCAAAATACATCATGGTTTCTTCCCGCTGTTGTTTCTCCTTGATTGGATGATGGAGTGCAATGCTTAGGTATCGATAGGGTGGATTTGATGATGGAGTGTAGAACACGGTTGGTGGTTTGTTTCCTCAATTTATGAAACAAGCGTGATCATGTAGCCCTGTTTCACCTTTCATCGTATGCATGCGGATCATGTCAGTCATAGTAGATTGAGAGGCCGAGTAAGATTGTATAAGTAGTCAGCCTCATACACTGCATTTAGCCGGAAGGGTAGGTGGATGTGAGGCCGGGTTAGCGCGATATTCGTCCATTTCAATCAAACAGGGTAAAATTTGATAGAGGTTCAGCTTGACATGCACATATTTGTTCGCTGCTGCTCTCCAGATACCCGGCAACCTGTCATGGTAATGCTCATCTACCACGGGATCGTGCCTTTGTCTTGATACTTGGCTTTGAAAGTGTAATGGACCATCCTTGGTCGCCTTTTTGGGATGACCTGGTTAGAAGGCCCAGGTTCGACCTCGGATAATACCCATATGATGGATTTGTGTTGTGCTGCATTATCATGCATGTACTGGGAAAGGTATGCTCGTATCGTCTCTCCCAAGACCTAATGGGATGGTATAGCATGCTGAGGTGACCTGATTGGAACTCGTTCATCCGTCGTAAGGTTGTGCCTCGCCTCGTGAGGAATCAGAGTGACTGGCATTTGAATCTGTGACTAGCCTAATCTCAATGTCCAAAATGCGCTCTGAAACCGAAAAGAACTCGGGCGACCAATCGCAAAAGAAGTTGACTTGATGAAGTTGTTAAGTACCGTGAGTCTCCTGCCCAGCTTGTAGTTTATCCGGAAGCTGTCAAGTACCGTGAGTTTTCTGCTCAGCTTGTTGTTTTGATCTTGCGAGTTGGGGCCTGCTTAATTTTATTGGATTGTGCCCCTTGGTTGGGTTTTAGCTTTCGCTGTTGTCGTATTCAGATAGGACAGCTAGCCACTGTCATTATTCCTGAGAAGGATGATGTTGTATTGGTCTAGTCATTTGGTCATGAGATAGGTGTATGAAAGCCGAAGGCTCGACACTGCAATGCGTACTTGCAGGCATCTTCTGCATCTGAGCATTGAAGGCCGTTGTATACACGGACATTGTCTTGCAGCGTTGTGACAGGTATTGGTTAGCAAGATCGATGCTGTCGTAGATGCAAGAATTGTTTGTGTTTGCCTGATTGAAGAATTTGATCTGGTTGTGAGAGAAGCTGTATCTAGCTGGCGACAGCCACGATGAGACTTGATCCAACGCGTTAAATCTTTCGGGTTGTTTTGACTTGATTACAGGGTACTGCATGGATGAACTCGAATGTTTTGGAAAGACAGCCATCGCTGACGTGCAGTGGGTTCGATCAAATAGACGTTTGGAATTGTCCAAAGATGAATTTGAAGCAACCAAGAGTATTTGCTTTGCTTTCCACGACTTCGAGTCAGGGGAAGTGGTGAACTCAGTGTCATTGTGTGTGGGATAATATCTGGGTTTCGGAAGGCTGATAATGTAGGTCTTTGTGCAACACATGGGAGTGCTCGGTGTATTCCTTCAGCTGTGGCGGAGGAAGTGTCATCTCTTCCGCAACTGCTATGCTGGGCTGGTGTCACGCTTCGGACTCATGAATATGTGATAGCGTGATTGATTCATTCGTGAGGTATAGCGCTGTGGTAGGTGAAAAACATGAGGGGACATGGTCTGAATCGAGTGAGGTCGTTCGCATGTTGTATCATATCGCAATGCCTGCTCAGCGAGGCTATTCTAGCGGATGGGGTGCTAGTAAGGCTTTGGTTTGCTCCATGAATGATGTGTTTAGTAAGTCATGTTCAACTGCAGCTGCCAGGCATACATCCTGTTCTTTCTCTCCTGACATCGCCTTGCGACGTTGGATCGTGTAGCTTTGCAAGCGTAGACCCGGTCTTCATGTTGATAATAATGTGGTATCACGACGGTCCAATATGTGTTGTATCGTTGTCTCCACATCAAAGCGGGCATAAAGTTCTGGACGACTAGGTGTTCTTCGGATCACCCAGGGCATCAGAGACTGGGCTGCTTGCATTGACCCAGAGTGCGCTGGGAGAAGCTGTTCACTGTAAGAATTCAGTCCGTCTTCATGCCTTCGTAAGCTTGGTCCTGAGGCTGAAGCTTCCCTTCGATGTGGTGAGACACATATGAACGTTGATTTGCCGCGAGCATCAAGCATCGTTGGTCTTGATGCAACCAGGCTACGCATTCTTGTTGCTGGACAGTGGTAACGTTTGGGATTAGCAGATTGAGAGCTGACGCTTTTGTCTTGAGACCTCGGATGACCCGTCTCCTTTGGCGAGCATTTCTTTGGATACATCTTCTTCTTGTCCTTCTGTAATGTATAAATGGTAGGTTGAACTTGCTTCGGTGTTCTTTTGATGTATGCTGCAGTAAGCGCTGTCTGGCACCCCAAGCATGTACTCTGAGTATGCGACTCAGGTATGAAATAAGTATGCTTGATGCCTTCAGATATCATCTGGCACGGAGTTATATCCTGGAAAATATAATATTCCTGGCAACCTCTCCTATTCGGGGTCATTATCCCGAACACATTCACATAGCAGTGTAGGCTAAGACGATGTCTCGAAAACTCGGGATCATGTTATGTACCAGATGATATCTTGGTGACTGGTCCACAGTCGTGAGTTCAGACATGAGCCTTATCTCATCGGTATATACCCTGGTGCTTGATCAGAGTGGCAAGAAATATACATAGATGGGGATAATGTGACCATATGTGTTCTCCTGTAAACATAATTATCGGAGGTAGAGTCGTGCCACGGGCATAAATCCCGGTACAGTATGTAGGGCTGTTGGATAGGGCTTTCTCGTGACGAGGATGGTCTTGTCTTTGGAGAGGTTTCGGAGCAGCCATGATCGATAAGACAACACATGATGTGCTTTAGACTTGTGGGTGGTAATTGGCTGGTTGAGTCGACACCACTTGCACTTGGCTGTGTGCCGTGGAGTACAGTTGGGTTTGAGGTTAAAAGGGCATCGGAGCTGATGTTGACGGAAGATTTGGATCATGTCATGAGGGCATTGATAGGAAATGTAAAGCGAACATACTTGGACTGGGTTGTGCTCAGGGTCAAGCTTGGCGTAGTTTTGTGACACAAGTCGTGATGGTGAATGTTCCTTCTGAGTATCTGTTGTTGGAAGCGATTTTCCAATGGATCTGTTCCGGGTAGATCAGATTGATCCCATTGGAAATGATCTGCGTTGCAGTTTTATTTCGAGCCCGGTAGGCATGATCGAAAGGGTGGTCAGTCGCACTGAGGTGGTCGCTAGTTTCCACTCTCGGTGCTGATTGATATCTGTCATAGTAATAGGCCATAGCCATTTCATAACCTTGGGGCTGGTTACACCTAGTGTACACTTGCCATGTCGGTCTATTGCTCCATGCAAGATCGCTGGTTTTGTTGAGACCGTGTCGGACGATTTATTGAGTCGCAGCCTTACTTTGCTCCCAAGTCTAATACTGGCAGCTCTGTAGGAAGTATGTATCTCGGAAACCCTAGATGGTTGAGTGCGATACATATATAGAATGAGATGTTGGGATTGAAGCTGCTGAGGTTGATGGGTCTGGACCCGCTATATATGGTTGCATTGAAAGCCTTGATTCTCCGGATGTGATAAAGATGGACGTAAGTCCGGTAGCCATGTGGTCCGAAGTATCATCGACAATGGTTTCGGCCAATGTATGCCTCTTCGCGCCAGACGTGGTCAAATTCCTCCTGGCCAGCCACACTCTGAAGCTCGATCTGTCCTCAGATTTGGCTCTATTCCAGGCTTCCAGCTTGAATCCCGTGTAATCCATGACTTGTCAATCATGATACTAGCTAGCTTGGCTACGAGAGTCTCGCTGATTGGGTTGAC